TATATATATATATATATATATATATATCTTTTATCGAGGAGCGTCAACCAACTATAATATATATCAGTGCCCTCATTGTGGCTTCTAATTGCAGCATGGTAGCATCGAATCGACAACCTTCTCTACTTTTGCGAATCCTCAGGCATCCTTCTCACTGTTATTATACGTACAACCATTTGCTGCTTGTTTACTTGCAACATTTGCCTCGCACACTGTTGTTCAAAGATGTAAGCAAGAAAAATGAACAAAGATAAATCTGCATCTGATGCAGACTATTTCTGTATCATTACATAAATACATTTTATTTATTTTTATATATATATATACATACACACACACGCTAAAATAAAATGTTACATCTTCTCCTTTAACCAAAAAAAAAAAGGAGAAAAAAAAACGGATTATTGGATTCATAACATCTTCTTCAAACTTTCTAGCTCAATAGAAGAATTCTTTAAACCAGTGTCGGTATCCTCCTGCTTCGATCTGATTCGCCAATCTCATTGCCGGCACGAGGTAGCTTCGATCTCTCCCTTGTTGCCACTTCGAACTCTCTCCGTTCATCTAGTAGAATTTGGCGAGACCGGCATTCTTCACTGCAAAATCCCTTATCTCCCCTGCAGTATTATCTCATTCCAATCACAAAGAACACTTTGATAGATTCAAAGGTTTCATTAAATAATACATACATACATACATACATACTCAGAGAGAGAGAGAGAGAGAGAGAGAGAGAGAGAGAGAGAGAGAGAACCTGTACATGTAAACATCATTGGCAGGGCTCAGCTCCCTCCTGCACAAGCAGCATTTCTTCAGTAAGGCCAACCATGGCAAACCCTTTGGAAGATGGTAAGCCTGAGAGTTCAGATTGCATGTCGTCGTCGTCGGCATCATCATCATCATCATCTTAGCTTTCACCACAACATTGGCTCCTTGCTCCTTGTGATGTATGAGAATGCGAAGGCCTTCAATGCCCTCCGATGGCTGTTGTTTCATGTACCTGAGTCCTCTGTTGCTAAGATGGAAGCTGCTGTCATCTCCTGAGAGCATCTTGAGAGGAAGAAGGTGGGGAAGCACAAGTCTCTGAGCATGAGATGAGGGTTGCAAGTGGAAGCTATGGTGGATATTTGTGACCACTTTATGTCCACAAAAGAATTCATCACCTCTTTCACATGTCACAATAGACCTCTACATAGCTTTGTTGTGCCTTTCGTAGCCATGGATGCAAGACTAGAATAAGGCTGCTAATTGCTTGCCATTATGTGCCTCATGAGCCACGTGACAGGTACTATTTAGATATAATGATGTATGTTTGTGTGGGTTGGTTTTGCATTGCTTGCTAGATTTCATTCAATAGCAAAATCTTGTCCACAAGTGATGAATATAATAATGATAGGTGAAAGACTTAAGCTATGTATTAAAAGAGCCAACCCAAATTAAAGGGTTATCGAATATTCTGTGCTTGATGAATTAATGATGCATACAGGTAAACTAGATAGAAATTTTCATTTGCATTACATAGATATTTGCAGAGTTAAGAAAGAAGCAAAAAAAAAAAAAAATTCATACAAAGGATAGTGTTACTATCAGATTTGATTCGGATCCAATTTTTTTCAAATTGGTCAACTCCTTCGAACGATACTCGAATCCTACAAAATTATATTGAGGGTACTGTCAATAATATACCTTCGAAGCTTAAGTTAATAATCAAGTCATTTAAATTTTTTAGTATCTTAAGATATATTTAGGTATCTCTTTTATAGTTGACATTTTGGATCGTTACATTCAATCATTGTGCAACCCGTGTACGAACGGGAGTATGAAGTTCAATCGTAACCAATTTCAACCTGTATCGAATCCGAGAGTGTACTATCTATTTTCACAAGGTCTTGACAGGTCATTCATGTGGAGCTCGTTGATCGATCATGTGAGACTGATGTATCTTCCAAGCGGTATCGATAAGTCGATCGCTTAGGGTTGGCTCATCAACCACGTGACCTCATTAGATCGTATGGATGATCCAAGATGAGTCTAACAAGCATGATGCTGACATATCAGCTGCGTCATTTTTCCCATGGATAAGAAGATAAGCTAAAGGAAGTCTCTTTACTGCTACCAACTCATGAAGAAACCTGAATGATACATCAGAGCATAAAGTGCGGAACACACTGTGCCTCAGACGAGAACAGCAATAGACTGTGCATGGAGTTTGGAGTCTTCTTCCTCTTTGTCACACCCTTCTGCCCATCAGTGTCAGCAGTGGGACAAATGAGAAGTGGAGCTGTTTCTCTCTCCGATGGACTCATGTGTTGCAGCCGCACCAAGTTGTTCTCGTCTCCCTGTAGGATTTGAATCAGGTTGTCGAATCATTTACATGGCTTATCACTATGATTTGTGCAAGAATACCTCATTTCCAGATTTATTAGCAGCCTTCGCAGTCGAATAACTGCTAAAGCCAAACTTGCCATTATTTTGAGCTCCCATAATTATGGAGTTCTTTATATTAGATTGAATAGTTGATAGAATTTTCTTGTTTGTAAAGAAAGTTTGGCGACTTCTGATATCCTAAATAAAATGACAATAAAAAGTGAATGTTTCTTTAGGATTTTCTGATAATTATCATTAGTCGAGTAAGATTAGAGACGAGAGTATATTTTTTTAATTAAAAAATCTAAAGTGTTTCAACCACCTTAGTATAATGATTTAATCTCCTACGGAACTTATATACATTTAGAAACTCAAAATGTGACTTCTAACGTACCTAAATATATTATCAAAAAAAATTATTTTTTTCATACAATTCTTAAAGTTTTTAGGTCAACTAATTGATGATTTTTTTTCCGAAAATAAACTCCTCTAAAATCCTCTGTAAACCTAGATGGTTCTCCATCATCTACTAGATCTCAATGTATCATTTCACAATAATAAATTAATAATGTAAGGTTTGAGGTTTGAGGTTTGAGATCTCCATCACCTGTTTAAGGTTTGAGATCCTTCAGCATCCTACATTTTAATGAATTTGTGTTACTTCCAGCTGCTGAAAATATTCAGATCAGCTAAACCTAGTGAATCCTGGCTGGATTAGGCTTGATCTGTAGAACCCAGATATGAAGCCCAAATTATTCCCAACTACAAACTCACAAAGAAATTTCAATTAATAATGGAATGAAAGAAATTGATTTACCATCATTTTACTAACATGTTTACAACACAAAGTATTTTTTTTTTTTGTTTCATTTTGTTTCCAAAGGATAACTTCATCCTGCAGTGAGTTGGATGTTAATTTATCAATGAGAGACTGACAAATAACAAGAGAATCATCAGTTCACTGAAGATATAATAAAAGAGGGAGGAGTAAAGTGTGTCAGCATCCTGTGAATTTGGTTGTACCTAAAACAATAACTAATATTTTTCTCTTCCAGGAAGTGGTCCTTCCATTTTGAATGATTTAGAAGCACCTCAATGTAGCTAAAGTTGAGATTTTGTTGAACAATAACTAACATTTAAGGTATAAATTCCATCTTTTATGCCAATCAATCAGATGCATTATCTCATATGCATACATCCACCTAACAGTGACAAAGAAGATGCCACAGACAAAAGCAATCAAGGCACACAGGGGATAGAACATAAAAGAAAAAGAAGGAACTAAGTTTGAAGTATTAGAACCACATTCTTGATCAATATTTTAGGTGGAATGACATCCCCAGGAAAACAAATGATGCTTGTATGCATCCATAACATATGCAGCTTTGCAACTTAGTATCAAAAAGTACTACTGTATGATCTATTTGGAGATGAGGAGGATTACAGCAGCAAACACCTCCAGTTTGTGGAAGATGAGATCAGCAGTGGAAAAGTATTGAGAAGTCTGAAACAAGTCTTCCCACGATTTCTATTAAAGATATGCAGGGAATAAAACCTAGTCTCTGTCTTATCTTGTTCCTCACCAGCCAATTCTATTCCTTCTGCCAACTTTCAGCTTGGGCCAGCTCAGTCCAGTTAGAAGAAAACCAGTTACAACCATCAGAACTAGATTCTCTCTCTCTCTCTCTCTCTCTCTCTCTCTCAAGAAATTGTTGTTGATGCTTATAGAGTGCAGATGTGCACACCTTTAGATAATATGTAAAGCAGATAAGATGCAAGTTTAGAGTCCAAAAGAGAGCCACATCAACCAGAAAACATTTGGAGGAAAGCACAGGGGAAGTTATTCATATATCCTTCCATGTCTAATTCTGCTTTCCACATGAAAAACTAAAGATGCTCATCTTTGGCTAAAGTGGCTAGAGATCTTTGTGAAGGGGTATGATTAAGAAACATGTGAATCACATTCTTTCAAGTTGAGGAGAAGTCTCTCTGGGTCAAGCTGTTTGATGCTAGCCCACTTGGATATCCTCACAAAACAAATAAGGCTACAATGAGGAATCCTTGCAGCAGATCTCCATTTCATTTGGTAGTCTAGAAAATTATTCATGATTAGCTTATTATAATTCATATATATAAAGGCTTGAAAACTTGCAATCTTCTTTCTAATTCTTAAAAAATAATAAATATTTTAGTTCAAAAATTATATCTTCTAATCTATTGAACAATGAGATGACTTTTGCAATATAACACCAACGGTTTACACATAAAATACTTTTTAAAAATAATATTATTTTTTTTTTGAAAGAGAAGCTATGGTAGCTAAAGTTTCTCCTCCCTCTTTCTTAAAAACTCTATTTTATCCTCGCATCGTTCCCTCGTCTCTCATTTTCTCTTCCTATGTTCATTTTCTATTCTCACGAAGTTCCAATGTAGTCTCGTTCTGTTATGATAGTCCCCCCATACTTACATCCTAAGCAATTTTTTTTTAAAAGATGAAGCGAGTAGGAGATGGACAAGTTGATCCTATACTTGAGGGGCAGCTCTTCCAAATCTAATGTCAAATCTTAGAGTAAAACTTGATAGTAATAAGGTCTTTTCTGCTTAGAAAGACTAGCAAATTAGCTTATATAAGAAGTTCCTCGATAGATTTTAGTGCACTTGATATCTTCAAATCTCTTTTTCCTAAGATCTAAAACCTCCCTACTGGACGTGACATAATAAATATGACTGGAGATTTCTTTTGCTTTCTGTTTCATTTTATGGAGAAGAAAATAATATTCTTTTAAGGAGACCGTGGTTCCTTAAAAGTCAACCTCTCACCCTAATCTAGGATGAATAGCTAGGACATTATCATTAAACCCAAGAATTATGGGGGTCTCCCGTTAAGAGACCTCCTTACAGTTAAAGATCTATTTGCTATTTGTGTGAAACATATTCTTTCAATCCTTAACAAAGTTTGACACTCTATGAGTTCATATCTTATTTTAAGAGTCAAATATGGGAATCTCTACCGATTATCATTCCATCAATTTTTCTGGATCTAGGAGGAATATTAACTCTCTCATAAATCTTGATTTACAAAAATAATCAACGATGAGAAAATATAAGGATCATCGGATAAACTCCCTATAATAATAATAATTTGGATCATCGGATAAACTCCCTATAATAATAATAATTGGGGGAGAGATGACACCTTGTTCTCGTATCTCTGGTCTTTTGAACTTTAATAGTTGGATTCTCTCTAAGCTGGAATTGTTGTTTTGAGGATTTACTTTTTTTTCTATATAACTATTCAGTAATGATTTATGGATATGATATTCCAACTATTTCCCTCTCTACTAGTTAGTTAGTGGTTGAATCTAAGGAAAAGAAGTGAGCATGGCTAAAACATTCCTTATGGGAACTTTGTTGGACCCGTCTCCTAACGCTTGATCTCTTTGCACACATCCTCAAACATTCAATTGAAAGCTGTAGCGTCCGTCATCTATTTGAAGACTCCTTTGTTGCCCATCATCTCTTTAATTCTGGACTCTTACGTCAAAACAGAACTTGGTATTCAGGCATTCAGGCTCATGGCTGGATGAATGTGAAGGGTATTCTAAATGATGAAATCCTCAGCCTCATTTCCTGTTCTTCTTTTTGGCCTCTTTGACTCAGTAGTAATGAGACCTGACAGTCCTTGTTGTCCCTTAATGTTTAGGGCTTTAGCCCTTAAGAACGAAACCATGGAACCATCCATATTCACCGCCTGAGGAGACTAAGGCCATGAATTCTCAGAATTCCTCACCTGTCTTTTTAAGGTATTTGGCTTCGTCTTCTTTCCACCTGCTAACAACACTTTGATGGCAGCTGGCTGCTGTGACTACCAAATTCACAACCCATCCATGGTGGAAGCTTTAGCAATCTTTTGGAAGCACAAACAAGATGGAGGAGATTTCAGCTCCAAACTGATGCACAATCCATTGGTCACAATGGTCAACGGCCATTAGTAGCTGCAAGCCATCATTTCTGTCATACGACTCTTTTTGGCTAATTGTAATGTGGTGGAAGAACGAACCTCCGGATTCTTCAAACTTTTTTGACTCTGGACGACTTGGAATAGAGTAGTCATCGTCGGGTCCTCTTGTTTTCGTCAGAATAGAAAATGTATGGTTGTGTTGAAGATTCAAACGATTCAAATGCCTGTAACATCACACACATGGTAAAACCAAAAGGAAAGCCATGGATATGTTCAAAGGATGTGAGAAAGAATCGAGTGTGTTTCCTCCCCAAAACACAAAAACAAAAGGAGGAGAAGGGAATCAAGCTTGGATAGAAGAGCCGCGTGAGTCACCTGGGAAAAGCTTATTCCTTCCACCCGACATGCACATCAAACAAAAGCCGCCAACCGATCGACTTCCCTCGTCTCCATATAAACACCCACCACCCCTCGAGTTCCCTCACCACCACCACCACCACCACCACCTCAACCCTCAACACCACCGTCGCCATGTCTCGACTTCCCATGAACACCATCCTTCGCCTCAGGTGAGCTTCAGTTTGCACTCCCACTCCTCCAATGATCAAACCCAACAACCCTAATACTTCTTCTTCTTCTTCTTCTTCTTTGTATTTGACAGCCGGCGGTCGTACGCCGTGGTTGCAGCGGAGGCCTCGCGTGCACCGGCAGCGGATGAAGAGGTTGCGAGAGCTGCTGTGGTGGCCGGGGAGCAGGGCGCAGCGACGAGGGAGAAGGTCTTTTGGATGAGGGACCCGAAGACGGGGAACTGGATGCCAGAGAACCGGTTTGGCGACCTCGACGTGGCTGAGCTCCGTGCCCGATTCCTCAGCTTTAACCACGGGAAATGAACATCGACACCTTTACAGATCTCGAGTCTACTCTTGCTACTGGAGTCGATCTCAAGTTATGCTTTGGTTCTCTAATCTTCTAGTTTCTATGAACGCTAAACGATCCTTCACTATCTTGCTGATGTTGTTCGTGAACAACATTGCAGCATTTAGTTGAACCGTAACCACGACAAATAAAAGATCTACCGGAGTTGATCTCAAACTATGCTTTTGACTCTTCATCTTCTAGCTTCTGTAAACTTCTGATGCTGCAAGGACTTTTGTCAAAGAACAAGAACTACTTACCAGTGTTGTGAATGAACGCTAAACAATCATTCACCATTGCTGGTGATGTTCATGAAGAATTTTGCAACGCTTAGTTGATGCAAAGGCCTGATTCAGCTAAAGCTCATCCTTTCTGACACTGGGATTGCTGCAGTCTATGCCAAGCTTGCATACTACACCAGGAAAAAGGCTACCAGCCAGAACAATTTCCATCCCTTAAGATTTGAATGTTAGATCTTGATCTTACCAAGAAAAAAAGATCATAATGCCACAATTTGTCCTCCCTGATGCCTACTGGGGTCTGCAACTTCTACTGCAAGTGGGCTAATGGGAGATGTGGTTTTCAAGCAGAGGCTGATGGAGATGGCTGTGTGTGTATAGTGTTGGGCCTTCATGCCTATCTTGTTAGACCATTGAGATGGCTTGGAAATGCATACTCATTCATGGGTTTTATTGAGAGAGAGAGAGAGAGAAAAAAAAAGAAAAAAAATTCTTAATTTTGCTAATATGTTGGTAGATTATTCATTTTCCCTTTGTTTGTATCCTCATCAATCCTTAGTTTTGGGTCAAGTTTACAAAAACAAATAGCCCATTATCAAAAATTAAATTAAATTAACTATTTGATATATATATATATATATATCATATATATAATAGGTAAAACCATCAATTAATCAAGTTTCCTCCATCAAGATTATACTTGAAGATTCCGAGACAGCAACAAAAAAATCTTGATGTTTTACTTTCCTGTTCATATGTCTAGGCTATGCTGGAATTAGTTTGTTTCCTCCCTTGGATATAGTAGAAATTTGTCTCTTTTAATGATGCTCAGCAAAGCTGCATTGTAATTCTAATTACATCATTAAGTAAATCAATTGTATTGCTAACTTAAAACCTATCAAAATAAGAGGCAATGATGCAGATTCAATTCATTGACTTCGCATATCAGCATAGGGATTTGATACAAATGCCCACTATGGAATATGCCAAGTTGCTGCTGCCAGCCTGAATTCTTAGGTCATGGATAAGATTAGCACATAGAAAACACAGCCAGGAGTACCTTCAAATAAACCTGGTAGCTTCATGCTGGATCTTTGTCTTTGATCAATCACAGCCTTCATCTCAAAGACCTTGTGGAGCCCCACAAATTATGCTGCAATAGTTAACAGCACAAATTTCTTCCAAAGTCGTACAATTGTCACAGGTGGCATAAGTTATCAGAAAATGGCTTTAGGTTTAAATCACAAATGCAGCACAAGAAACATAGATAAGTTTTTGTATTAAAAAAAAGATGGATACTTTTGTAGATTTAGTATGCAGAAATTTCTTGGCTACAAACAAAGGCATTGAACTTAAATGTTTTATTTTAGTTAATACTTAGACAAGAAGATAAGACCTAGAGGGATTTGGCATATGATAGAGTTAAGATAATGATAACTAATAGGTGAAGAAATAGACCTCTCAATCAACCATAAGTTTTCACATTAAAGAACCAAAAGATGTCAGAACAGGTTGGATCACAAACTTCATCAAAACTACATAGTTAACTCTCAGAAAAGACCATTAAGAAGAAGTCTAAATTGAACGATTATATGACTTATTAATCAAATTGGTCTCTCATCAATTATTGGATGAGTACCGTAACTTTCCAAGTATAATTTATGATTAAAAAGAATTTTACCTATTAAAAGAACATAAAACCAAGCAAATCATTATCCTATATGCTGCTTGCACTTCCTTTGTTTCTCCAACCACAGACAAGATTTGACATTATGTTTTCACAAAGATGGCCAATCAAGCAAGCCATTCATCTAAATAGAAACTTACCTTGCCTTCAGGGAACCTCTAGCATTCTCTAATCCTTATTCCTCAACAGCACCACACCTATAAAGATTGGAAAGAGAAGAGGTTCAACAACCACCATGGCAATCAGATATTTTCATCCAAACGCTATCCTTCCAAGAGACCAGACAAGAAAGACCATGGCGAGAGCTTCCCTGATCTACAACAGCCAAATATCACCCAAAACATCAGTTTCTTTAAGCAATTTCTTCAGGATCAACAACAAGGTATGATCTCTCTTATAGCTGTAGTAATAACATTGTCATCTGAAAATTTCAAATACGCTGTCCTTTGGATCTTTTACTCTCAGGCTCTGAAGCCTGAAATCATGTCATAGATATCAGCTTGCTATTCTAGCTGTTACTGTTGTCAGGTCTACGAAGATCAAGTGAGGGGTATAATATGCTCCAGAGATGAAAGAGGAGAAATAATTTGTGAGGGATATGATGAAGGATCAAGACATAGTCACCGTTTATCTTCAGAAAATGGAAAAAGAATTTGTGAGGGATACAATGAAAGACCAAGATATCATCTTCGCTCACCAGCACAAGTAGAAGAAACTGTTTGTGAGGCATATGATGACCAGGTGAAGGGTATAATCTGCTGCAGAGATAAAACAGGAGAGATGATCTGTGAGGGAATTGATGAGGGACCAAGATACAGTTACCGGTCATCATCACAAAACACATATGAAGCTAGGTACAGAAGAAAGCACATCAGTTCTCGCATAAATTCCAATCACATGTCGCATTGAGAGGTAAGACTAAGGAGATACAAGCTTTCATACAGATGTCAAGGTACTTGTTGGTACTATCTGCAAGTTATTCAGGTTTCTAAACATGAATTCTAATATGTTCAGAATGAGTAAATGATAAAGTTGAATGTTGCCAGGATCAAATTCTGTTTGTGGGAGTTTATATCTAATAAATTTACATTTAACAATGGCTGGACCATGAAAGCTTAGCATCAAGGTTCTCTGGTTACCAAAATATAATCACCAAGAAGTAGGAAATATGCATTCAAAATTCAATGGTTTACATGACTCAAGAAGTGATTCAATTCCTATTTGAATGAATCCAAAAACAATCCCAAAAACTGCCTGAGATATAATGTTAGCCAAGGCTCAACAATGCTTACCAAAATCTACCTGAGAGACGGTGAAAACGAGAGACTTCCTCATTTTCATAATAACCATTAACCATTGCAAGTGCTGCATAATGGCTTTCCCAAAAATAATTTTCACTCATTTCATCCTCAACTAGAACTTCCTCTAGTGTTTAACGAATATAAATATTAGTATATCTTTTCTAGTAAATACACATGTCTGTCAACTACCCTCATCTTAGTAAAATTAACTTTTTGAATATGTATCCTAATTGGCCTTACATTCTGAAAAATAAAAGTATATCAGGCCTTTCATCTACCAGATGTGTTCTTTTCAAATTTAAGAGGCCCATGACAATCATACATCATTGCATCTGACTTCTTCCATTTTAACTATCTCGGTTTAACTCTGTGATCGATATCAATCTCTGTTTCCTATTGAATCATACATCTAAGATACCGAATTTTTTTACTATTAAAACTACTAAACCATTTATATTAACTATACCTTCAAAACCTCTGTTTGCGTTTATACGATAGGACCTATTAAATTAAGACCTTGGTTTCTAAATTTTTCTCCATAGCTTAAGATCATTCCAATTCGATATTTGAACAATCAAGATGATGTCAACAACCAATAGTCATCTTCGTTATAACTTAATCACCACAACAAGCAACTGTGACTCACAACTATGTGAGATTGGCAACATGAATCCTGTTTTCCTAGAAAACTTACAGTGGTAAAAGCTCATTAGGCATTTCACCTATTGTATCTTCAAGTCACCAACATATACAATTAGGCGACTTCACCAAATCCCAAGAAGGCGAAATTCCGCAGAAAACGGCCATAAAAAGCACAGTTCGATCGGTCGAGTCGAGTAGATGAGAGCGTCGGCTGGGAGGAATGGTGTCTGCCTGAGAACTTGCTGAGGAAAAAGAGGAATGAGGATTCGATTTAGGGTTCTTACCACCGACGGGGCCAACGGAGACGAAGAGACTGCGCGGGAGCGAACTGAAGCGGACGAGAACGTGGGAGGGTTCGTTGGCTAAGAGATTAAACTGAACCCAAACTTATTTATAGTCCAAACGAGGCCGAGCCCAAATTTTACCCAATTCGATTAGGCTCGGCGTTGTTGATGGCCAAATCGTAATACTCTACATGTATGCCCTGCCATGGAGTACAAATTAATTGGCACTTATTCCTATAAGGGATCTATTGTTATGATTACATTTTCAAGAGTATTTTAGATATTTTGTATTATTTTGTTTAAATATAAACTATTAACTGATGAATATAATTAATAGTGATTGGAGGAAGGTTTAGATTGGACAGATTATTAAATAATAATAATAATAATAAATGTTATTTCTTCTCCTTTAGTTTTGAATGCATGTTCTATTGGCATTGGATTATCCCACATAATTGAATTCTTAAATGTGATGTGATGTTTGCTCTCAATTGAATTTTGTGTTTCTTGGTGTAAATTTTGATAATAGAATCCTTAAATACATGTTTGCCCTCAAATTCACAACGATGTTTTGTGTTTATTGTTGTATATTTTGATTATTGGATATTAATTCAAACTCGATCTAAGATCTTATTTACTGCTTTATCTTATATAGATGTCATTGATTATAGATACGATAAATCCTACAAAATCGTATGGAAAGATATACTCAACTAATGTCGAGTCTATTTTTGTGCCCAGTAAATTTTAGTTTAAGAGTTTTAGAGAATTAGAAAACAAACATGATGCATCTTTTATAGTGGGGGTTTCGAAATCGTTATGTTTGAGAATATACCTTAATATCAAGATGATTACATACCTTTTTCAGTACCAAATTTAATCATGTTATACTAAATTTGAATATTGTAGATCTCTTATAAATGAGATTGTATCGAGATGATAACACTGTTAGTCATATGATGCTTGATGTGAGTTATTGGTCACATAACTATAGTGTTGATTGCATGGTTTATCCATGCAACAGTGAGGTGTCAATCATGTCCTCCCCATGTCATGTTCCATTGGAAAAATCTAACTAAAAGGATATAAAATATAAAAATATTAATCATATCAATTTAGGGAATTATTTTAATCTGTATATCACTAAAAAAAAAAAGGTGCAGCAACACAAGAGTTTTAAAAAAAAAGGACCTAATTTATAATTCTATAGTTACAGTCCTAATTTAGGATTAACATGGTTTTTAGTGGTATAAATTAATTAGATGTGGTGCCTCTAAGGAAAGATCAGCTCACACTTGACACCTTATGCCACTCTTCTCAAGGAAATGCTATGGAAGATGTACATGAGCTGTGAAGATCCAAAGAGATGCGAATCAAACTCCAACAGTTGGCAAGTCGAATCCAATGAAATGGCATTGTGTTGACATGTTCTACACTCTGTGATATTAATAACTATTTTCCTAGTAGAGATTGAGTTTATAATTGCAGATGTGGGCATCAATCATTTGGCTAGCAAGAAGAAGACAACTATTAATCCATGAAGGGCCAAATCAAAAAGGTCCACGGAGGGAGAACAGTCAACTTCAAGTTCCCCAGAGGTCAACCACCAAGCTCAATATCCTCGTAATCCACCAAATCTTGACCTACTTTAATGAGCAACCTTCCTCTTCTCCGCTAAGAATCCAAATAGTTCAACCGCACGAAGCTTTTTTCCATGTTCACGTTTCCCTACGTCAAGAAAGGTCTTACATGCTCGAGCCTACTTGCATCCTGCACCCTGATTCAACTTCGTCCCAGATATATGCTGCTAAGGCCCAGGCTTGATAATGTATCAGATTCAGTAAGATCATCATCTTCTTCTTCTTCTTTGCGGTGTTCGTCCATCATGGTGGCCGGGAGACACGCAGTTCCACGGTCGAACAAGGGAGGAAGAAGGTCTCTCATGAAGGAGCTGCGGGCGAGGGGCCTACATCGCAAGCCGCTGCTGCGCCACCATGCTCCTCTGCTGGCGTATCCATGGAGCTGACCGAACAAAATGCTGAGTTCATGGCTTTGTTTCAGCACATCGATCCTTTTTCTTTTTCTTCTCCCGATCGATCGCGCCACCATATGGAAGGATGTCCATGTGCTGATATCATGGCCTTGCCATCGCAATGCTTCTTCCTCGTCCATTCATTCTTCTGGAGTTGTCGTAGCAAAGAAATGATCACATCGCAGCCGCAGCAACGAGAGGATCAATGCATCAACGTAGCAGCACCTCCTTTTATCTTTGTGTGTTTGACACGGATGGAAAGTTTCCATTGTTTATTCTGATATGCATGACTCCTATTAAATTCATTGTTCCAAGTGGAGCGCACACTCTCAGATTACAAGATTTAAATGTGCATTTAGACTTTACTCGCATGCATGAATGCATGCATGCATGTCAAAATTTGCTGGTAAATACCGTCACCTTCCCTCCTCTGAACTTTGAGAAAGAACATGCATTCATTGGTCACGAGAAACAACAAAAAAGTTCGAAAAAATCACGGTGGCTAACGACGCCTGTAGAAGACGATTGATCAGAAGACGAAAAACACACAACTATCAATCCTCATTAGTTTGCTAATTTACACCATCCTCCAATTACTCCTTGCTGCTGCTGCTGCTGCTACTATTGCCGGATTCTGAAACACGATATGACCTCAAGTGTCTAAAAAAGAAATAAACCTTCGTTGACCCCTCCCTCTCTTGAAGTCCAATCTTTGTTATATACAGAAGATGTGAGATCCGCTCAGATGATACTCCTCTTCTCCTGTCGTTTGCCATCACCAGCTTTGTCTCAGAGAACAAGCCACCGCCTGTGCCCAATGCCGCAATCTTGTCTTCACGTGCTGCGGACTGTCTCCTGTTACAGAAAGATCATGACATCCCAGCCAACGCCAAGAACCATGAGTTGTTATTAGAATCATCAATGCATGTTTCAGCTCAAGAATCTCGACCATTTCGTAATGCGTCGACAGGTGAACGCTAATTGTTAAGCGTTCAATGGTAAAGAGGAGAGGAGGATTACAGCACCTGGATTGCAGATCTTCCAACAATCTGAAGCTCCTGATTGCGACTGTTCGTTGGGACTTCGCGGGCTCGGGAGGCCGTCCAGAGCGGATGACGAAGAGGTGGCGGTCGGGGTGGAGGCCGGGCTCGGCGATGATTGAAGCTTGGGGTCGGAGAGCTGGCGGTTGACGGCGAAGTATAGGTTGAGGGCGGGGAGAGTGTCGCAGAGGCCTTGTCCACCTTCCTCTTCGTTGAAGCCAAACCCAAGGTCGATGGAACCCCTGAGCTCGTCGAGGTCCTCGTCGGTCAAGCTCCTCGTCCTTCCATCCAACCGCCTCTCGCTCCCCTCGGTCGCCTCCTCATCTCCTCCTCCTCCTTCTCCGCGGCCGCCTCCCTCCATCAGACGCCTCGTCTGCAGTATCTGCCTCCTCCTCTTCTCCCACTTGGCCTCCATTCTCGTCTCCCTCATCGACAACTGCTTCGAAAGCAGCCTCCTTTTGTTGATGCCGAGGGCAAGGCCAGTACTGATGCCGTTTGCGGGGTTCCATGCCGGCGGAGGCGCTTGCTCTTCGATCTCCACCACCGCCTCTTCCTCCGCCTCACTCTCCGAAGACGACGACGACGACACTTGCAGCAGCTGATGCACCACCGTGTTATTCTTCATCCGTTCTGCCATCTCCGCACTTGTTCGATCCTCCTCCTGCCTCAGGCCTCACCGTAAAACACATCTGACGCCGCCGCTGGACGACGGCGGCAGCAAGATGAGGCAGAAGAGGAGAGAAGGATCGGGAACTCCTCCCTTCTTTCGTGAGGAGTGGCTGTTACCTGATGAATATATAAGGCTTTGTTGGAACGCCATCTCCGACCACTAATCATCCGAGATGCAATGGACGCCGCTCCTATTAATTCACATTACCTATTTTTTTCCTGGGGTCTCTACTTGTGCTGTACGTGGAAGGAACGAAAAGGAGAAGATTTTGGAGTCTATACATAGAACGTGACCTTCCATTTCTACAGATCACGATCTGGAAGCAGATTCGCCTATCTCCTCCATTCTACAGATGAAATGTTCTTTGTATCATAGACTTGGTCACCATACATTTAATCTGAATGCAAGTGATATTCGTAATCCATTGACTTGATGAACGCAGCGTTCTTCTGCAACCTCAAAGCTTCGAGTTACACTCTCCTGCAAAACTCTGCTTTGCTGGATCAAATGAGTCGACATGTAGAGGACTTGTTGATCGAGTAGTCAACTTCGATATGTCATACGAAAGATTATTCCATGACTGATAGTCGATGGTTGATGGTTTTAGTTCCATCTGATGTCAAATTATGTCTTCTGTATAGGCTAAGTTTGATATCGTGTGCAATCATTCATATAGAAAAAACAGGATGATAGCAGCTCTCATGTATTCTCTGTTCGTGAGCCCAAAGAATACTCGACAAAACATGAGAATATATACACATGTAATTCATGAGCTTCCACATTCAAGAACTCTGTTAATTAGACTGATGCATTTATTCCTGGACACCATAAATTTCCTGATTGTGTAGGAGTTTAGCTGTACCATTTCCTCTGCAAATTCAGTATCTTCTGTACCATTTCACTGCAAATTCAGCAGTGAAATTGCAGCTTTATTTTCTAGCAACATCGCCACAACAATGGACACTTTTGACACCCAAACAAGTCAAAGTTTAGTCAAGAAGAATGCTCTAAGCCATTTTCTGTCTTCCTTCCCTATTGATCTCTGGTAGACACAAGATATGTAGACAATCCTAGCAGCAGTTGCTTCTTCGACAAAGAGTTGATTATTGTGATCTTACCTTAAGGTACTGGATTGTGCCCCCCCCCCCCCCCTCACCCCTCCCACAAGCACAAGCATTCTTCGCCTGTGTGTCGTTCGATATCCTTGAGTTGTCCGTATCTATCTGTATCTGCTTTCAGTTGAAGGAACCTATGCAAATTTATGCTGTCCAATCCTGTGAACATGCCATTGATAACAATGATATATCTTTTTGTCCAAGAACCTCCTTTGGCACCCCATGACTGGATCTCATCATGCTTGATCCAGACTGCTAGTAGTAGGGATTCAAAGTGTTCCTAAAAGCGAAGAAAAGCAACACAAGAACTTTTGTTTCCCCTTTATAATCACTAATCTCACCTTTAAATGTGCCCTTGAGGCCTCTGTTCTCTCCCCCCTTCCCTCTCCTCCTCTACATCCGCTTTACTTAGCTTCAGAAGCTTTGGCTGTCTTCCTTTCTCCGTTGCAGAGTAGAGAAATCTAGCTCATTCTTACATTGATGCTGTATCTGTATCACCATAACATAGTAGATGAAATGAACATCTCGATGAGGTACCATCACCCAAATCTGGTGTTGGGTCGTCTCTTCTCAGAGGCCCTTCCCGGCACAACTCCAACCTATGCGTCTTCTCCGTGGCTGCTGCCACTGAGAGGGCTTCGTAGACCCTCTCGAGGGATGTATGCATGAGATGAGATGCTGTATACGTAAGTTTTACTGAGATAATATGGATTACAATTGAGATTTTTATGATACTTGCATGAGTATGAGTTCTCGAGAGTAGCAAACACATCACCACTTGTCCGTTTGTTCCGTTCCATTCCATTCATCTCCTATTTCGATATTATAAATTTATATCTTGTTTTTCAGTTCATTAAATATTCAAAATCTCATCTAACAAATTTAATTATTATATTAAAAAAATTCAAGATGAGTTGAACCTTAATCGGATTCGATACATTAATCTCGCTAACATGTGTTAATGAGAATCATCCTCGCAACATAATATAAAGCGATCGAACTATATAGGTTTGATATAAGATATTTTTATTAGAAATATTTTTATATTAAATAATTATAATAAAAAAACAAACCTCATGGGAGACCTCTCACTCACATCAGCAATCATTAAATCATTTCGAGAATGGTTTACCAACTTAGTAAAATAATATATCGAATGGTATCTTTTTCCTTTTCAGGTTAATAAATACCTATACATATGATATGAAGGTAATAAATAAGGTAATGTTACATACATGCTTCAAATTGTTGCATAACCTGCAGCGAAAACGTGAACGCCACAGAAATACTAATTACGTACTATCCAAATGCGCATCCGCTGGAAGCATTGGGTGATTTATACGGTCGCAGACCGCAGACCATAGGTGGGGTCCGGGGTTGCTCTGAGACTCGCATATAATCCTCCTTGCCTATCTAGTACTCGTTTGTATACCCGTATTGTAATTGGAGTCTGCCAGGTCCAGAAATGGGACCCAGGTGGGATCCGTCGACAAGTCGAATCACAAGGCAGGTGGCTCGGCGAGCGTAAATAAAGGGTGGGCAAGGTGACGTTTGCCCCTCATCGATTCGATCCACTCGGGGCTCGACGACTGTAGAAATTGCCTTCGTCCTCGATCGGGCTTTTAATCGGCGCTGCGCCACTACCAATTAAAAGGAAGAAAAAGAAATCCAAATCAGGGGACAATAAAGAATTAATTGGAGATTTCGTTTCGGAAGATCGAATCGCGGAGATCGGTCGAGAGGGAGCGTTAATTCATTGAAAGCCAAGCAAGGAATTGGTATCCGAAGAAAGGGCTTCGATTCGGCCGCCGCTGGATGCCTCCCCCCTTCCTTCCTGTCGTCGGATCTTCGGTTGGTAATTAGGGTTTTTTGGTCCAGGAACCCTCGGGGTTCCACGTTTTCCCCTTCCGTCGCCACCGTAATTGGTCGGGCAGCAGATGCGACGGCGACGAGCGAACGACGACCGGTGATCGCCGCCGCCGTGGGATCGCGTTCCCCTTCTGCATCGGTTAGTTGGGCTTGTTGCTTCTTTTAGGTTTGTCGATTGAGCGTGGTTTCGATCGATGCCGGACTGCTAGGGTTTCGTTTGGGGCTGGTGACGCGATTTGTGTTGGTTTACCTCTCTTTAGCACCTTATTACGATAGGGAAAAGAGGGGATTCTGATACGCCCGAACTGTTTTGTGATGTATCCCTGGCCGGAGTTCATGATTCTTATGCTTACTGCATGGGTTGGGCCTTCTCATAATGTCATGGCGGCTTAATTCTATCCAATTTAGGGCTCATTGATTTTTCTTTGGTATTTGTTCCAAGCGTCTAGGTTCATTTGCTGGTGTTGATAGTTGTAGTGAAGTCGGAAGAAAATAGGATCATGATCTTCATCTAAGCCACAGGTGTTTGATTGTGGTCAGCTTCCCGAGGAGTAAAGACACTATGAAAATAGGAACACCTTGCATATTTATAATTTATTCAACTTAATTTTTTGCTTTCTTTTCTGGGCACACGTTTCTGTTGCTAAATGACTTACTTTACGACATGTTTTCATTTCTTTTGGTTGGATGTTCCATGCTGAATTTGGTCATTGTGCAGATCACTTATCAGGAGCCGGATGGCGTGATCAAAAACGTCAGGAGTGACCTTTCTTATTCCCAGTTATTGGGAACATCGTGTCTTCAGTTGCAATCCTGTGTCCTTTCATACTGTATGACGGTTGTATAGTGATTGGTTTTGGAGTCTTGACAATTGGGCTCGTAACTGATAAATCTTGGCAAAAGATATCTGTGTGATTGTACCAAAAGGAAGGAAGATGAATGCACATGCTCATTTGGCTGGGCAGATCACCAATCAGATGTCCAACCAAGTGTCTGGTCCACCTCAGCAGATTGGAAATTATATGGCACCCCAGATGCAGAGTCTCGGACCTCGACCTGTAGATTCTGAACTTCAGGATGCTCGCATTACCATGCAACACAAGATGTAAGCAGTCATTACTTGGCATTCTTTCAATCGTCTCACTTTCTCTTAACCTTTTGTGGAGCATGTGTTCTCAATCTTTGTCATCCAGTCGCCTTGGCGGCTCAAGGTGGTACATGCAGCCTATACTAGGCGGTCTCTTGGTGATGGATTTAGAATAAAGCACTCGTTTCTATTCAGCAGCTCGTTATAGTATGAGGTTATATATCCTAACCGACATCTTCACTTGGATGATATCACACAGGCCAGCTTTAACTTAGCTGGTGGGCTACCTTCACCTTAGTTCAAGGGTTGGGTCTTCAATCCCTTGTAGGTGCTATATTCCTTGCTACATGCAAACTGTAACGTCATCCCTTGTGGGTTGAAGAGGGCAACAAGCCTTGACGTTACAATTAGGTTCCTTTCTTGGAACCTCGGTGACTAGGGTTTGTGTTTGGATCATGGAAACTTCTTTTTTTTTTTTTCAAGAGTCCTCTCTGGATCCCGCATTGATGAGAGCCTTGCACAATGGGTTACCCTTGTGGCGCTTTGATTACTCTCCATGGTTTTGTGGGCTTATGTTGGATCAAATGATTCTTGTGTTCAACTGTAGTCAAGGGTGATCTTTTGTTAGTCCTTCTACCTAAAGCTTTGAACTATGTGTCCGTAACAAAAAAAAAGAAGTTGACATTTTCACATATTCAACTGAGTAGTTCTGTAGCATATCTTAAGGCATGCATGATATAAGTCATTATAATTGCCTTCAAATTTAAAGTATAATCAGTAGACCTAGCATGTATCTTCCTGCCAAGCAGAACGTGTTGCCTTGCTTCTTGATTGTCCATCATGTGTTTGGCCCAGCCCAGTTCACTACTTATGATGTTACTTATTTGACAAGTTTTTTTGTTTGTTTGTTTGAGATACCATGATGTAAGCTAATAAAGTTGTCTTAAAAATTTAAATTAAACTTATAAACATAACATAGCATATCAGCTAGCATGTATCTTCCTTCTAAGTTCATCGTGTTGCTTGGTTTCTTGGTTTCCCATAGAGGTTGGTCCAGATCAGTGAAAGACTAATTGTGGTGTCATTTATTAGACAATATTTTTTTCTGAAAAATAATTTTCGTAATGTACCCTTTACTCTGTAATATAGAACTTAAGTGTCTGATGTTGATTGATTATTACCAGAAGAATTTGCAAATTTTTTTAAATTTATATGCCGCATGCCTGTTACATGCATACATACAGAGTAAGGGATATTTCTATTGTCTATATGCTTACATATGTGGATTTATATGGTAGATCTTCTATGAGGTATGCAATATCTGTCTATAGATCAAAGCCAACATGGCAAAATGAAAAACTGCTACAACAATGCTATTGAAATGAACATCCGGTTGTTATAATGTATCTCCATTTTTGGCCTACTTTGATCCATCACATTATCTTGCCATTATATTGTCATCCAATCATATGAACCTGCTGGATCATTTGTGAGCAATATTTTGGGCATCTCAACCATAGAAATAGAACGAAATAGGAAAGGGAAAGTGTTACCTGTTAAACAAGTACAAAATGGTATTGTTTGGTATCTTACTTGTGTAATGAACATTAAACTGCAAGTTCGTTAGCTGTCACAACCTTACATTGTCATAATCTTAAAGCAGTAGCATATGGCTATGACACGAGCGAGTGTTGCCATCGTACTAGGTTGTCAGTTACAAAAATAACCTCTCTGCTTGTAGCGATTAGATTGTGTGCTGCATTCACTGGACCATTGCGTTGATAGAAGTCTCATCCACTGGGCCACCCTTTTTACATGGGCTATAACACTTTATAAGATCAATGTGGCTTCTTGTACAACGCAACCTTGCATTGTCCATGTCAACTTTATAAATTACATTACATCCAAATGATACGAAATCCTTTCTTTATAAGTGGGCATCTGTTTTCTTGTCATATTCAAATGTGTCAACAGGAGTCATTGCTACATCTGACATAACACCAGTACTGGGTTCTCTTAAGAGTAAATACTCTCAATTATATTGCTAGAAGCTAATCTTGATCTTTTCATCGAGCATTGTTTTTGAGTTTGTCTTTATTTCTTGTGGTACAATGTAATAATTGGTGATATTCCTCAAGGCTTAATTGTGGATGTTGTGCTCAATATCCTAGTAATTTTGCTACACTCACAAGTTGCAGAATATGGATGCAATTAATATTCTATGTGTCCATTGCATGTGATAAATTAGTGTCTTTGCCACTTCTGCATGTAAATCCATTTTTTATGCCTTGTTAGTTAGTTCTAACTTTAGGCTTGCTACTCAAGAATAAATGGAAAATATTAACTCTGAATTGGCATTCTAAACTTGCTTTACAAATATGAGAAATTCACCACTTGGATAAAATGGAAATTATTCTTGTGGCTTGGTATATTTTATCTTAGTACACTTTTTCCCCAAAATATGTAATTTATTTGTGCATCATGCCATGTTGGGAGAGCTTGCAATCAACATGCTGTTGGCTCTTAAGTTTTGTTGGTCCTTAGTGTAGTGCTGATTTGAGGCAAAGTGACTGCATAGTAGATTATCATGAAACTTAGAAAACTAGTTCACTGTAAGATAATCTAGCATCATCGTAATTTTGTATAGGCTATAAAGGACTTTATAAAATTTTCCTATAATTGAAAAGAGTCTGAATTACCATGAATATGACAGATTTCGACATTGAAAGCTTCATTTACTTTCTAGGATGAAACAATACAACATAAGTATCCAGTGTATTAGTATTGAAATTATGTAGCATTCTCCAAGTGTTCACATATGTGCTTCTTGATTTGTTATGACAGTTATAAATGTTTGGATGTTACAGCTACAATATTCTTCAAAGACGAAAACAAATGTTCCCTGATGAGTGGGTACGGAGGCTACCAGAGCTTGTTAAGCGTTTAGAGGAGCGTATATTCAAGGATGCTACAAGGGTAACTATCTCATTTACCAATGTTTTTTTGCACTTCTGTGGCAACTCTTTTATTGTTCAAATGCTTCATTAATCTGCTTGCTATTTTAGTCTGGAAAATTCTAGTTGAAGTGCTAGTGAGAAAGTTTCAATTCTAGATTGTTCTTTAGTTTAAAAGTCTCCTTCTTGAGGCAGCTTCACATAATAGGTTATTTTATTCCTGCACTAAAGTCTTCACTGGTTATTTAATGCACGAATGTGTTTATGATCAGGAAGAATATTTAAATTTAGCCTCGGAACCAGTTGAGCTTCGTTTATTCTCTATAATAAAGAATGTCCTCAACCACAATCGACCTTTATCACATCATATTACATCTTCTTCCACCGTAAGTACAATGATCCCGACTCCTGGTGTACCAAACAATGGCAGCGCTCATGCTATGATTCCGGTTCAGCCAGAGAATCCTACAATTGCCACCAGCAACACAGCTATTGCATCTCAAACTGCAGCAAACACAGGAAACTTACTTATAAATGCTAATGGCCCAACCGATGCGGGAAATAGTGCCTCCTTTAATGCTTCAGATGGTAAGTTCTGGGTATAGTTATTCTTGTTAATAACCTTTGTATATCTTCTGTTGCTGTTAATTGATTTGTACTTCTTGTACTTATGTTGTAGGAACAGTATCTAGTGGCTACCAGCAGCAATCTGCGGCTTTTACTCTTGGTTCAGGTGGAAGTAATATAATGTCCTCAATGGCTTCAACCAACATACCAAGACAATTTGGTCAGATGATACCAACCCCTGGACTTAATAGTCAGCAGGCAATATCTGCAAACTCTGACTGTTCTAGTGGAGCTGGATTTTCTAGCAATGAGCCTTCTGTGGCTCCACAGTCAGTCCATCAAAAGAAATATGTTTCCAGTCAAAACAGTCATATATCACATAATCTTGGTGCTCAAATTGGTGGTGGAATGAGATCCAATGTCTTGCACAAGGGTTCCTCTTATGGATTCTCAAATGGGCTTGCAAATGGTGCATTGGGATTAATTGGGGACAACATGCAACTAAGTGGGCCTACAGCATCGGATGGTTTCCTAAGTCCTGCTCCTTATGCTAGTTCTTCAAAGCCTCTGCTGCAGAACTTTGATCAGCAACATCATCAATCGAGGATACCAAGTAATTTCTCCCTTAATCATTAGCAACTCAATTTATACATGTTTACTTCTCTAGCTAGCTGCTGATGTAGTTAGTTTCCATCAGATGCAAGTTCTTTTAAATAAAATATCTTTGTTTCTAGCTATATGTTAATTAACCTTTCTACTATTAATCTGTGAATTTGATAGTTATAACAAACTTAGAGGTGTAGCTTTTTTTCTCTACAGCATCATTATCACAGCAAATATTACCTAACGTTGATGGTAATACAGCAAAGGCAAATGATGTAAAACACTCTGAGACCTTTCATGGACCTGATTTATCTGGTTTATCTGCTATGAGTAACATGAGTTCTGTAAATTTGCATCCCAAGGCAAGAACAAACTCAGGGTTTCTAAACCATCATGCTAGTTTACAATCAATGAGACTTCCGCTGAATGTGAGACCCCAAATGACTGATCAATCAGAGAATATAAGTTACCACTCATCACAGTCAGCCAGGGAACATCTACTGCAATCACAACAGCATGTGCAGCAATCTTCGCAACAGCCTAATCAAGCTTATGCACCATTTCCTCAGAACCAGCATCAGCTACTGCAGAGACATCAGCAAAGTATGCAGCAGCATCAACAACTTATAGTAAATACTGATTCTTTGAGGAAGTCCTTGGTAACTTCTCATTTTGGTGAGCAGCTAATGCCTGGTTATGCGGATGTAACCTGTTCTGACACTTTGATTCAGTCAGCAGCTCAACAGGTCCGACCTCCAGAAGTACAGTCTCAATACCAGCAGAATTCTTCTTCCGGAGATCATTCTAAAAGTGCTCAATTACTTGGTCACTTGCCCAGCTCTCAAGATTTTCATGTCCCAGTTTCAGAGGGTTTACAGCAGTTGCATCCACACCTGCAATCTGATGGATTTTCAAACAAGTTTGGTCGATTATCTAGCGGATCGCAAGCAGAAGAACTCCTTCAGTTTGAGTGGCATCCACAGCCACTACAATCACAGAAGCTAGACAAACCACCAGGCCAACAACCACAGGAGGAGTTTCATCAAAGAATAGCAGGACAAAATGAAGCTCAGCTGTTGCACCTCTCTGCTAGAGAATTGGATGCTGAACATGGAGACTCTATAAAACAACAAAACTATTTGAAGCAAATAAGGTGGTTACTATTTCTGCATCATGCTCGCAGGTGTCCGGCGCCAAAAGGACTATGTACAGAAACTAATTGCATAAAAGTTCAGGAGTTGATTTGCCATATGGATATCTGTAAGAGTGAGTTGTGTAAGTTTCCACGCTGTTCCCAGTCTAGGAAACTTGTCAAGCATATCCGTACTTGCCAAGCAGCCGATTGTCCTGTCTGCACTCCAGTACATGATCATATAGCAGCAAACTATAAGGCCCATGCTCGTGCTTTATCTAATACTAGTGTGGTATTTGAAATTAAAGCTAATTCTGATGGAATGAAAAAAGACACAGTGCCTACTGAAAATTCCGAGGACTGGCAGTCTGCATCAAAGCGCATGAAGGTTCAACATGCATCTCCTTTTTTCCCTAAAAGTGAAACTTCACTAGTCTGTGCTCCTTCTGGGAACCAACCTTATGATTTCCAAGAGGTGCAGTCCTTGGAGTGCAAACAAACCGGTCTGAACATGTCTGCTAATTCTGGGGTCATTGTAAAGATGGATGGAACTTCTGGCTCTGGACAAGAAAAGATACCAGTCTTTGGCAGTGACATTGATGGGAATATGAGTTTGCCAAGCTGTGAAAAAGATCCTGATGTTTCTAACACTGTTGACTCTCATGTCAAACAAGAAAATATGGTGGTTGATGAAGTTCTGGATCAGGCTGCTGCTGGAATCAAGCAGGATCCAGATAACCCTCCAACAGATCAAGTAACTGCAAGTAAATCAGGGAAACCAAAAATAAAAGGTGTTTCATTGACTGAACTGTTCACCCCAGAACAAATTAAGGAGCATATAATTGGTTTGAGGCGATGGGTTGGTCAGGTTAGGTTTCTTGCATTACTTATCCAAAATTTAACTGATAATTTTCTTAAGCTCAAATCTTCACGAGGCATATTATTTCATGCCCCCTTTGATTGTTCTTCAATGGCCATCTGTTGTATAACAACAAATTTGTTTATTTTTTAGTTTTTTGATTGATGATTGTTTTAGATAACTATAATAGTCTTCACCAAATTGTTTCTATCCTTTTTTCGATTAAGAAGATTATGTCTTATTGATGCATAAGCCTTATATTGTTGGCTATTCAATACTTTACAGAGCTGCTGAAATGTTTGTTTTGCTACTGTAATGCCTTTGACTTCTAACCTTTTGTTTTTCATGTTTCCTGAGCTAACAGATCTTCAATGTATGTGATATTGTTTACCTCAAACAATCATTTTAATTGTGACATCAAAAGTTGAAGATGTTGAGCTTACATCTCAGTGTGTATTTGTTTTACATGGGAGTAATTGGATGCTTGATATGATTCATATGTTTGCTAGTCAACTATGACTTGTGCTTACTTATTGGACTGTAAATGCATCTGTACAAACTTTGTGAATCTTTTATCACAACTTCTGCAAACATCATCAGACTATTGGTTGCCAAGGTTTCTTTAAGATTTTCACTTGACGTATATTATAGACGTTGGATTTGTTTTTAAAAGGTTAACACTCAGTGCTGGAACCGTTGAAAAATAAGATATAAACAAATACGTTTAACGTTTGGGGTACTTATATTTGTTCCACCATTCTATTTTCTGGGCAAAGTTTACAAGCATCTGTTGCACCAGCTTATTCCAACGGACCAGCATGGACATAAATGGATGCTGTTTTTGAAGCAATCATTGCTATTTTCTGGAATAAAAGTTTGCTGATACCCTTTTGCCACAGTATAATTCCAACCAACACTGGCCGATAGGCGGAGGCCTGCCTTTGGCACCACCAGTACGATTCCAGTGTCATGGGTTCCAACTTGTTTTCTTGGCTAAGTTGTGCCAGTCGGCACAACCATTCTTGGAGTGAAGTGTTATAAAAATGCTATACCAAACATTCTAACTAAAGAATTATAAATAATATCCATATAGGCTTAAGATATTTGTGCCAACCTACAAGACATGGAACTTTTTTTTCTCCCTCTTTAGTTGTCTCTTTGAAAATGTGAGTTGATGAACTTAGCCAGTGTAGACAAGTCAATAGACTGTTCTTCTAGCAGAACCAATCAATATTTCAAGTCTGTAAATGAAATCAAGAGACACTCTGGCTACTGCATGCTTATGCATAAATTATACACTCACTTTGTAGTATTTTTGTTCAACCAGGTTGTATTATATTCATGATAAATTTATCATGTGACTTGTATAGCTTGGAGTTCGTAGCAGCACTAATTATCTATGTTTTCTCACTAACAACAAATACTGATCCAAGATTCTTGATATAGTTGGACAGTAGTATTTTTTATATGTTATATTTTATGATGTCTTTTTATACTTATTGCAAAATTTTCTCACCTTGTACTACATAGTTCCTTGATTTTTAACAATCTGTTTAATCGAGGAGTTTCTTTTCTCATTAATATATTCGAATTTATGCAAATTAAGAAAGTAAAAAAAAGGAGAAAAGATAATGTAGAGTTGCAGTTACTGTTCAATCAAAATAAAGTTTTTCAAAATGGCCAGGAAACTTGTATTGGAAAACTATGGTGGAGTTTGTTCTGAGTTATGGCTTATCCATTCTGTTGAGCATTTGAACTCGCCAATATTCAAAGTTATCATTCCACTGACTTGACAGCATTATACATATGCTACATGACATATGTGGTGGATGCTTCATTTCTTTGGGTAAGGCATATAAGGCTGAACTGGTCTCACTTAAATGATGATGGATTCATCGGAACGGAGTTGTAATTAGTATGTAAATAATGCACTTGAAACAAGGAATTTAACAATATCTATCTTCTACTTTTCGTCATTTGTCAGATGCTGCTTGGACCGTCTTCCTTTCCCCACCCATCTTTCTTCTCTTTTCTTTATTTGTGGACAGTATTATGGATGTTATTGCTTACATGTATATGAAGGTATTTTGGTCAATGCATGTTGAAGTTGCAAATTGATTAACTTCCATCACAAACTCTTTGTGACCATGCTAGGAACTGCTAGTATTATTTTAATCAGACATGAGTAAATATTATCAGTTTCTTGTTTGGCAGAGTAAGGCTAAAGCTGAGAAGAATCAAGCAATGGAGCGCTCAATGACTGAGAACTCGTGTCAGCTTTGTGCAGTGGAAAAGCTCACTTTTGAACCCCCTCCAATATATTGTTCTCCTTGTGGTGCTCGAATAAAGCGAAATGCATTTTATTATACAATTGGAAGTGGTGAAACTCGTCACTACTTCTGTATCCCATGCTATAATGAGGCTCGTGGTGAGACTATAGAAGCTGAAGGATGTACATTCTTGAAGACAAAGCTTGAAAAGAAGAGAAATGATGAGGAAACTGAAGAATGGGTAAATCTCTGCTTTGTATTTTCATTTTTTTTTCCTTTTTTTTCCTTTGAGATTTAGATTCTGATCTGTGTGAAAGCTCAAACATACTCTATGTTTCATTATAGTGGGTGCAATGTGATAAATGTGAAGCTTGGCAACATCAAATATGTGCTCTATTCAATGGTCGAAGAAATGATGGAGAAGCTGAATACACTTGCCCTAATTGCTATGTAGAGGAGATAGAAACAGGTGAACGCAAGCCCTTATCTCAGAGTGCTGTTCTTGGTGCAAAAGATTTGCCAAGAACCATACTCAGTGATCACATAGAACAACGGCTTTTCAGACGGTTGAAGCAGGAGAAGCAAGAGAGAGCCAAGCATCTGGGGAAAAATTTTGATGATGTGAGTAGAACATTGGTTTTGCATTTCCTTCTTGCATCATATAGTTTGATCTAAACTTAGAAGGGACATGAAAGATATTCTGATAACTAGAACTGAAAATTTCATTTCCTTGTATGTTAATGATGATTCATAAATGGTGTTGAAAAACCTCCATTTGTTTTTTGGACAAATTCTATGAAATTGTCAACAGATGACTTCGAATGCCAGTTGAGCTACATCTGGCCATTGTCTCAGTTCCTTTTCTCTTTGCTTTTTGATGTATTGCATCTCTTCTTATCCAAATCTTTGTGTTATTTTTTATTATATCTCAGATGCAATTGGTTGATATAGGCATATAGCTACCGTTCTTTTTTCCAGATAGACATAGCTGCTGATTACTTTGATTAAACCTTAAGATCTTCTGGACCAATCATTCTGCATTTCACATATCATCTTTTATTTGCCCTGCAATAGGTTGTACTATTGTTTAGAACTTATAGTAAGACATCATGTTCTATTTTAGATTAGTCTGATGCCTGATAATATTAGCATGATCTTCCCTCTTTTACAAATTCCTACCATTTATTCATCAGACGGCTCACTATTCTATATCAGTCTATTAAAATTTGAGCTCAATTGGAATTCTAAAATTCCTGCTATAGATAATGTGAAAAAGATTTAAGAGTGACTTGTCCTCCTTTAACCCTTTACTAGTCAACTTGAGTAGACATAATTAGAGTATAATTAGGGCGCTAAATAAGTTGATATCTGTGATGTCCACTGTCTTGTACAGTGGTTGTCAAGACTAGTATTCAACTCCAGGTCAGACAAGGATATCTTGTCTAGTCTTATTTAGAATTCAATGAGATATATAAATATACTGTTGAAAACTTACCATATCTAAACTAACATTAACCGAGTATTATTTAAATAAAAAGACAATACTAAGACATTAGAAACACTTAAGCAAAAAGAAAGAATGCTTCAAAAAAAAATTATAGGACCTAACTACTCTGTATGGAAATAAGACCTAATCTAGACCTATACTGCACATATCAAGTCCTATGAATACTGTGCACAAGACTCCAATGCAACCTGCAAAAAAGTGATGCCTTTTTCAATATCATGAATCATCCAACTTCCAATATAACTGCCTTGCCATGGACCATCACTCATCCAGTATTTATCTGGCATTGCAACCATTATATATATTGTATGTAGCTTAATCAAGGCATTCTGACTGGTCTTACTTAGATCTTGTGGACCCATTTATTAAATCTGAAAATGTTGAGATATTTCTGCCTGGCTGATTTTTGCTGAAATCGTCTGGTCCATGAACATTGGTCGGACCAGTAAATACCTGTCGTACCATACTGTTTCAGCCGAAATCAGTCTTTGCTTTCTTGTTCACATGTCAATCTATTACAAGAAGAGTTACCGTCATTTTTTCTGAGTTGATTGTCTATTTTGTGCCACATATATGCGTTGGTTTTCTTTTTTTGAGTTCTATTTCATTTTTTATATAGACATAGAACTCAGTTTTATTATCCTGGTATAATGGAACATATTCAGGTGCCGAATTTGATTTATTTTTTAGCTGCTTCATGCAAACATATATCTATTTATTTCTGTAGGGTCAGTTTGTGACAATGAGAATTATGCATATTTTAATTATTGTTTGTTGTCCTTTATGAATGTATTTATTTAGGTGTGATCTTATCAACCATTGTTTTTATGGAGTTTTGCCTAGGTGATTTATTATTATGCTAAGATCTTTGATTATAGTTAGTATTGCAGAACTTAGTTTTTAGCTTCTTTCAGAATGTTTAATGCATCTTCTCATTTATGTGACAAAAAGTTGTTTTCTCCCTTTTATTTGTTCCAATACTTTTATTTATATTTTTTTAATTAAAGATGGTAAATTTCTTTATACTTTAAGTTCATACTTCTTTTCCATACTTTAGGTGCCTGGGGCTGAAGGGCTTGTAATTAGAGTTGTATCATCTATTGACAAAAAGTTGGAAGTAAAGCAGCGATTTCTAGAGATATTTCAGGAGGAAAATTACCCTAAAGAGTTTCCTTATAAGTCCAAGGTACAAAAACTGCATACTCAATAAACTGCTGAAACATGTGCTTCTTATTGTTTTATGCTGAAGGAATTTACCAAACTTCCAAAGAAATAGTTCATCTCCATGTTGAAATCTGCAAGCTCTAAATTTGTGTTTTTTTCCAGGCCATATTATTGTTTCAAAAGATAGAAGGTGTCGAAGTATGCCTATTTGGGATGTATGTTCAGGAATTTGGTTCAGAATGCTCTTTTCCTAACCAGCGGCGCGTCTATCTTTCATATTTAGACTCTGTCAAGTACTTCAGGCCTGAGATCAAAACAGTCACTGGGGAAGCTTTACGTACTTTTGTTTATCATGAAATTCTGGTACTTTGACTTCAGTGGCCTTTTATTTTTTTCATGTTATAAATATAATTGAGAAAAAGTTCCATCATATATTAATGATCACATGTTTGTTTTCTCTAAAAGCAATGATGACTGTGTACTTTAGCCTTTTTTTATTTCAATTTATTTTTTAGCAATAACATGTTTCCATTTACATGTGGCTCCAGATTGGATATCTTGAATACTGCAAGATACGGGGGTTCACCAGCTGTTACATTTGGGCATGTCCTCCTTTAAAGGGTGAGGACTACATATTGTATTGCCATCCTGAGATTCAGAAAACTCCGAAATCTGACAAACTCAGGGAGTGGTAAGCTTAAAGGTGTTCAAATCATTTCTTTTCTTTCAGCTTTCATTATTTGCTATGCACTGCATTATTTTTTTTTTTTTCTTTATCAGGTACTTGACTATGCTTCGAAAAGCTTCTAAGGAGAATATTGTTGTCGACCTGACTAACTTGTATGATCATTTTTTTGTGACAATGGGGGAGTGCAAGGCTAAAATAACTGCAGCTCGTTTGCCATACTTCGATGGAGATTATTGGCCTGGTGCAGCTGAGGATCTGATCAACCAGCTTCGCCAAGAAGAAGATGGTCGCAAACAAATGAAAAAAGGAAAAACCAAAAAGACTATTACCAAAAGGGCTCTGAAAGCTGCTGGTCATTCTGATCTTTCTGGAAATGCCTCTAAGGATGCTTTATTGATGCAAAAAGTAATTTTCTTTTACTTGGTTATTCTATTATTTGGTAACTGAATTTTCTAAGTATCAAGTATCATCTTACAATAATCTTATAAAACCTTGGTTGTGGTTTTTTGTTGGTGGTCTCAAAATGATCATGAGTTTTATTTCTTGTATGCTTAATTATTCCAGAACTTTTACATTTGTACTGAACACCACTTTCCTGGCTAACTTAACATTTTGTTTTCTTACACAGCTTGGTGAAACCATATGCCCCATGAAAGAAGACTTTATAATGGTCCATTTGCAGCATGCTTGCACACATTGTTGCATGCTACTGGTATGTGGGACACGATGGACTTGTAGTCAATGTAAAAACTTTCAACTTTGTGACAAGTAAGTATCAATCTACAAGGCAGCATTTTTTTATTCTGATGAACTAATATATTATGAAAATCAAAGAAAAAAGTGCAAAATTAAGTGCCCTTTGTAAAGAGGTGGCAAAAATCCAGGAAGTATAGGTGCTAGAAGTGAGATTTATATATAGTCTATATGTCTAAGATGAATTGGATGTTGTTTCTCAATGTTAGAATTGCTGTTTTTCATCTTTGTTAATGTGCTTGTCCTCAATACATGGGTTATTTATTATTTCTAGAAGCGCAGGAGATAGTTTGTGAAGAATGTTGTTTTCCTTTCTGTTCCTCCGTGTCTTGTCTCTTCTCTCATTGTTTACTTCTTAAATTGCTGGAGAAAAGAAAACTATTAGTCAAATGGAAAATTTAACAAATCAATGTGCTTTTGAACAATTACTTGAGTTTGAAAGCTATACCACTACTTCATAAATGATCTGCTTCTATACTCATAATCATAAGCATCTACCTTTTTTTACTATTGAGTTGATTGCTCACATATCATGACTCATCATTCCTTCAAAAAGAGGTTCGGCCTTGCCTCATTTATCCTTGTTTAACTAATCGCTTATGCAAGGCCAGAAGTTTGGAAAATACAGTAATGCAATCAAATAATTCTATGGAACAATGTTGTGCAGATTGTGCTCCTATGATATGGTAGAGGCTAGAAAGTCCTTGTTTATGAATTTCGGATGACATTGCTATTCCTTAAAATAATACTCTGTCATTGTCCTTCTAAAATTATTATACTTAATTTGGTCCTCTTTTTAAACTACCAGCCTTAAAAGTGCCTCTCTCATTTCTTGTTTTTAATGCCATTCTATATGATCCTTCTAATAGAGTTGACAAGCCTTCAATTTTCAATTGAATGATTCCAGACTTCTAGTGACTCTAAAATTGACCAAATTTGTTACTTCTAAATAGGAGGCAACCACATGCTTGATGCTTGCACACTAATATGGTGTCTGGAAGTTCAATTCTGTTTTCCTTTTTAGTTCTTTTACCCCCTCCTAGTCATGCCTTTCAAAGTTAACCTACTTGAGTGAATGATTTTTCTCTTATCAGTATGGTCCATAGCAAGGTCTGCCATACCGAAGCATACCGCCCGTACCGGGTGGTACGTACCGGTCCGACAGGTTATCGGTACGCCGACCGCCCGGTACCGCTACAGTACTACAGTACTATACTGTAGCACTGCTACAGTATAAAATATAAAATTGTCGGTACACCAGGGTGTACCGCTAGGTATGCCCTGATGTACCATCCGGTACACCGGTACCGTACTATACTAAGCCCAGGTCGAAACACGGGTACGGTACGATACAGCGAACCTTGGTCCATAGAGTGGTTTTGGACCCTAATGCGGGTATCTCACCAGTACAATATAACACAAAATATTACTAGATTGGAGTGATTCATACATTAATCATGAACTAGTGTGTGGTTAAAAGTCTAGTTGAGAGTGGTAAAGAGTTGCTATAAGTGACTTTCTTGTGTGCAACAATGTGTGGTTATATTAATTATTAAAGGAGCTGAATATATTGGAGTTCTCAATTTGATTGGTTTATATCTGATTGTAGGTGTCATGAAGCAGAACAAAGAGTTGATGAAAGAGAGAGACATCCTACTAACAGTAGGGAAAAGCATATGCTTTATCCAGTGAGTTCTTGTGACAGAAGTCTTACTGTAACTGTTTTCAATTTAAAAATTTTCTGTGTTCACGCGTGCATTTCTTATAAAGCAACATGTGTATGTTTGTGGATAAGTTGGATGGCTGTGTACATATGTTTTGCTTATTTTACGAGAACTTTGACCACTAACATATGTATGCCCTGTAGGTTGAAATTAATGATGTCACTCAGGATACAAAGGACAAAGATGATATCCTAGAAAGTGAGTTTTTTGACACTAGGCAGGCATTTTTGAGTCTTTGTCAAGGAAACCATTATCAATATGATACTCTAAGGCGTGCTAAGCATTCATCGATGATGATCTTATATCACCTCCATAATCCTACTGCGCCGGCTTTTGTAACCACGTGCATTGTCTGCCACCATGATATCGAAGCTGGTCTGGGCTGGCGTTGTGAAAGTTGTCCGGATTTTGATGTATGCAATGCTTGTTATCAGAAAGGTGGTATTGATCATATTCATAAGTTGACTAATCATCCATCGATGGCTGATCGTGATGCCCAGAATAAAGAAGCTCGGGCAAAACGAGTTTTACAGGTAAGTTTTATTGATTAAAATTTTCAAATGTATTTTAGATAACATCAAGTTCTTAGGAATATTATTTTTTTCATATTAGTTCTTAGTTACTGTTACACCGTTGTTTCCCTATTTTGAGATTGATCATAACCTTTTAGAGGCATTATATTATTGTGTTGCTTTAGTAAGAACTTCTACAATTTGTTTTAGTTTTGCTTATTGTAATGACATTGCTAAAAGATTCAATAGTATTTTATATCTGATAATTTTGATATCTGCATGACTGTCTGTTAAAGAGGATTTGCGGCAGCTTCATTGCATTATTTTTTATATACTCTTGATGGCATGCTTAACTTGTACTACTACAAAATTATAGGATGCATCTTCTTTTTTATAGTCCATAAGAACTGATAAAATTCTATCCTCAGAATCAATTATTGATCAACATTACACTGTCCTAAATTTTGCAGACCATTATCCTAACCTACAAATCAAGACCAATTTACCTGATGTAGCTTGCTTTTGATAATTATGCATGTTGTTTACAAATGCCAAGTTTGCATTCCTCATGAAAAGATGTTGATGAAAAATTTATTTCATTGTGTATACTAGATCTAAATATGACTAAAACATAATAAGCATTCTTATACCGTGGTCTTATGCAATTGAAGTTAACATTTTCTTCAATGTGGAAAAGCATTGGTATATGTCAATGGTTTGGTCATTAATGAGTTGATTTGCAGTTCTTAGAAAATAACTGTGGACACTAGATTGTTAGATAAATTGATAAAGCCAATGGTGGCATGGATCTTTTTATAAAGATTATCTTTTTTTAGTTGCTGAATTTTCTATATCGATGAGATGATCAAACAAAGAGGAGCTGTAAATTGTCATGACCCGACCTGATGGGTTAACTGACATGTTAAATTTGTTGAGTCTGAATCATTAGTTCATAATACTTAAGTCGAAGTTAACTATAATACACTCAACCTTGACAAGTCAATCTTAGTATATGTCCACTCTCGATGTGGTCCTAAATTGTGATGCTATAATCTCCCTTGCTTAAGGCTTGATGTCCTCGTCAACATAGCCCAGAATTATACCCTAGCATGGTGCATATGAAGCATGGCCCTGTGGTGGTTCTAGTCCATGATGCGCTCTTTGACCCTTCCATGGTAATCCTTTCCTACTCGAGCCTCTAATCATGCCCTAATACAGTTAGATAAATGACATGTTAAGCATATCTGGCCTATTAACTTTGTTGAGCTTGAACCATCGGCCCAAAATACATAAGCCCAAGTTAATAGTAGTACATCCATCAGCCTGTTATACATCTATCTGAGTCTTAACCTACTTCCGCTGTGAGACTAAATTAGAGTGTTGGAATCTTCCCCATTTAAGGGCTTGATATTTTCATCAAAATCCAACTTAACCCAAAATCAAATAATAACATGATGCATGTGAGGCATTGTTTAGTGATAGCTTCATGCAATAACGTGCACTCATGATCTCATCTACGGGGAGTCCTTTCCTACTCGAGTCTCTCGTCATGTTCTAGTACTAAGTTGGCTCTACGACCAATTATCACGATCGACCTGATGATGTAATTGCCTTGTTAATTTTATTGAGTCTGAACCACTAATCCGAAATTCTTAAGCTGAACAAAAATACTTAAACTAAAGTTAATAGTACACCCATCAAATACTTGTAGGCCAATCTTAGTATTTGCTCACTTCCAATTTGGGAATAAATCAGGGTGTTAAAATGTAAATAAGCAACCAAATGCCTTAAGCGTTCTCGCTTTCTGCATTCATTCATTATACATTTTATTTGTGTTGTCTTTAGCTCTCTCAAGAGCAAACCATGCATAACTGAGATTGTTTGACTCTTTCTATCATCATGATACCCCTTTCGTCTAGCATATATATATTGTCATGTGTTTACTAAATCCTGCATGGTCAACATTTCTGCTTGCTAGTTCTAGTTCTGCAATATGCATATGCAAAATCGATGCCCATATATTTTGCATATTTTTTAGTGGCATCATCTTGTGCATGTGTGCATGCAAATAAGCTTGCCGAGGGAAACATGTATTGTATTTTCTCATACTTATTGCTTATGTTATCCAGATCCACATATCTGTTTCCATTTACAGGATCTGACTTTCCCTAGACTGTAAACATAAATAGATTGTGTTGGCCAAGGTTTGTTCCTTGCAATGGAAGGCTCAATTACTATTCCCTTAGAGAAACTCTTTCTAAAATTAGTAGCCTGTCACTTTTTTATTTAGCTTGCTCAATGACCTTGGTTGATTTATTATTTTGGTCTACATCATGCTTCTACTGATATTGATTGGCAATTGCTTGTGCATCATGTAATGAAAACATCACTTAAAGAGCAATGGATGTATGACTTGCAGTGCTTAACATCAACTGTTGTGGCACTAGGAAGTTATAAGACTGCTCTTAAACTGTAATTGAAGTTCTCTGTTGTTTGGTTTGAGTTCAAAGAGTTCTGCACTGTTATGTGCTCACTCGTCTTCTTCTGTACCGCAGCTTAGAAAAATGCTAGATCTTTTGGTCCATGCATCGCAGTGTCGGTCTCCTCAATGCCAGTATCCAAACTGCCGTAAAGTCAAAGGTCTTTTCCGCCATGGAATACAGTGCAGGACGCGTGCTTCGGGAGGTTGTGTTCTATGTAAGAAGATGTGGTATCTGCTTCAAATACATTCCCGCGCTTGCAAAGAATCAGAATGCAGTGTACCACGGTGCAGGTACCTTTGATGACTCGATATGTTCTATTCTGCTCGATCACTTGGGTGATGTTGTTTGCCGTTGGTACCATGGCAAAATTGACCTCGTCTTTTCAATTCTCCAGGGATCTGAAGGAACACTTGAGAAGATTGCAGCAGCAATCTGATTCCCGGCGGAGGGCTGCCGTAATGGAGATGATGAGACAGCGAGCTGCTGAGGTTGCCGCCAATTCTGGATAGCAAACTGTACAGTAAAGGTTTTTGTTAGCCAGGGATCAACAGGAATGTAGCTGCCAGTCGACGAAGATCCGCCGTCTGAATGTGCCAGCCAGCGATGGTTTCACAGATCTGAATACGACCGACGGACCGATGTGCATGGCATGGCATGGCATATGATCAAAATCTATAGGAGTGGGAAAGCGGACTGGCTACAGAAAGTTTGTTTGCTGCGCTAACCAAATCAGCTTTAAGGTAATTCTTTGATTTAACAAGCAGCAGTGCTCCACCATACATGGAGGTACGGATGGATGGTGGTTGTATTATAGATGTTCTAATTAATCGATTTCTGAGCTTTAAAATCAGTGTTTTATTTATTTCTCCTGTTTATGTGTCCGGTTGGATGGAGGTGTCCTTTTTCCCTTTGCCCTTTGGCCCTTTGGCCCTTTGGCCCTTTGCCCTTGTTGTAGGTAGGTAGGTAGGCCTCTGCCCATATTTTGTAGAATGTATATTTGTTGCTACTTTGACCCCCAAAACACAAAAAAAAAAAAAAAAAAATGTCCCTAAAAATATTCATGTCACATTGCTCAACCCCATCCACGCATTACAATCCTGCATTGATTGGTGAGTCATGGTTTGATGGCGTGAATTCACTCGTAGGATTTTAGAGATATGGCTTTTTTGGGGGTGTCTATCTCGAAATGCTGATCGTGTACGTCTCATTGGATGGTGCTTCGTTTGGGCCCTCCAATGGACAAAATCAAAATCGTAGGACGTCCATCTCGCATCGATTCCTCATCACTCACGGATCATCCGATGATAGACTTTTACCAGAACAAAATTGAAGTCGTCTAAGAACATTTCCAAGCGATAAAACTGTGCTCATTGAAAGAGTGGTGGACACAACAATTCCTTCCTCGTAGCTCCTACAGCTTGCCCGGTGTGGACCTTATCAGGTCCCAAGCTATATACGACAATGTCCCGTATGTAATATAATCTAATGACAATAAAAGTCTAACACAAGTATTTTCTTTACATTAGCGAGCTTTGGTGGTGAACGGGTCACAAATTTCTCCCTATACATATTTTTTGTTTTTGCTTTAGGATAAAGTTGGTTTCTTTATTTCCTTGTCACGATTAATCTACTTATAATTGGCAAGTTCTTATTACCATCTTGTATTCTTGTTTTAATTCCTCACTATTATGCTAGCAATTTTTCTTTATAGGAATTGCAACATGAAAAATTACCATCTTATAATTTGTCTTTACAGAATGCTAAGATCACAGTCATGAGCAGCTGAGGCGTACTAAGTAACACGCGCAATTCTATGTGGGGAATTGCTGCTATTCCCTGTATAAATCCTTGAATGCGATTAAAATAGAACATTGTCGATTCGGTGCCAACCAACTTGCTGATAAGTAATAAATTTCTGTTTTGTGCTCTTCCCAAAAAACAAAAACAAAAAAAACAGTCATGTTGTATAGCCATCTGCCATCAATCTCGAACTCGGAGCACAAATCAAATGGAGGCACACACAAAGGGATCAGGAGAAGCTGTTGCTCACTACCATTGTTCAAAAAAAGCATTACAAGTCGTCAGAGTTCATATAACAAGCTGTCAGTTTCTATCTACAATCCATTCTTCCAAGGGCTTAAGGTCATCATGGCCGAGCTCGATCTCCTGCTTCAAGCTGGACGGTGAATGCCACAGGCGACGGTTGTAATGGACAAACTCGAGATCACGAGACCTCTGCTTTTCCATGCAGTTCCTTCCCCCGGCGTGTAACTGCTCCGACAGATCCTTCCTTAGCATGTACCTCGAGGCACCACTGCAAGCCTGGCTTAGGATTTTGACGGCGAACTTTTGTAGTTCTGGGCATTGCCCTCCGTGCATTGACCACCACATATCTGCAATTTGAAAGAAAGAGATTGATCTCAGAATCCTACACAAAAATTAGAGATCTGCACGGGAATCAGCCTAAGAGAAATGAGGTCAGGGTTATCACAATATGGAACAGTGAAACTTGAGGTGTCTATCTCTTTATATAGTTCATCCCAGTCAACGATTAATCACTAAATACGCAAAATGAGCTTGGTCGTAAAGAATGAGTTGCTGAACAATGAGAACTCAACATTAGTCATTGGAGCAATGACAATTATGAAGGTAACAGTTTTAGCCAACTAAAAGGACAGATAGAATGTGATGCACTTTTCATTATTAGGCAAAACGTCGTTCAATGAAAGTTCAGCCTAAAATTTTTATCCTCCACAACATCTTGAATATACCATGTGATTCCTGAAAAGTAAACAAGTAGACAATTCAGAGCTGAAACAATCTTGATCACTGCCAAACACTCTTGGCTAAGAGCTAATAATTTTTAAGTAGTGGTTTTGAGTTCCATTTTGATTGCACTGTTCGATGACTGCATATGACATGCTATCTTGAGGAACAGCTTTGAACATACACTCCACTTATGTTCCCACAGATATATCAGACAGTTTTACATGGCATAAAGTCTGTCCCTACAGTCAGATGAAGACCTTCAGTTACAGAGTTGAGCTGAGTTAAGCTATCTCTAGATAAAATGCATATTTATCAACATATCACCATGTAAGTGTGGTTTAATTGTTATGGTTATATTCTATCTCATATAAGATATTACCAAAAGCACTAAAACCTGTAAAGGATAAATGTAGTTATTTTTAAAACACTAACATATCACTGTATCGGTGCCATCAGAAATTAATCGTGACATGAGTTATAAAGTAAAAATGTCCTTTCATCATATAACAAGGTAAGCTAGATCAGAAACCTTTTTCTTTTTTCTTTTAGACTTCAGCATTACAAGTCAAAATCCCTCTTCTAGATAACACAAGGTCAACACCTAGTTAGTCTCATAAAGAGTCTATGTATCTATGTTAGAAACTTCACAAGAATTATGAGCTTCTTAGCTTTTTTCGTCTTACCATAGTTATTTTCTATCAAAAAAAAAAAACAATTTGATCAATATCACACCAAGTCATCTCATAGAGTGAGCTTCTTAGTATTTTCTTGTTGTCTTACCATAGTTATTTTCTATCAAAAAAACAATTTGACTGAAATCATCATACCTGCAGGAGACAAGAAAGGTAGGAAACTGTGGAGACACAATTTATTTCCTTTTGACTTTTTAGCTTCTATAGAAGAATGGTACTGAACATGTAGATCAACATTTTAACAGCTGAAGAATATCCTACCCAAAGTACATTGTATCAATATCTTGTACATTTTCTTAAAACATAATTCATAAGCCGTTTGGTTGCATACAGCTAACATTTTGCCTAATGTTCTTAATATATCATGTAGACCTCAGATTCTGTTCTTTCCTTGTGATGTGACTACATCTTTCAACTGCTTTGTAATCCCTAATTGTTGCATATGAATAGTAGTCTTGCAACGTTGTCTTCCCCTCTGAAAAAAGTAAACAAAGAAAATGTATTCCTCTCTCTGTTTGGAGTTTCTTTATTCTCATGCTATTTCTGTTAGATCTTTTCATTTAAGTGTCACAAACAATCTTTCAGTTTCATGTTATATTGGACTGTCCTTAAACTTTTTCCAAGGTAATTTTCACCCATAATCAATATAGTTAAATTGCAAATATATTGAAGTCTAGCTTATCGAAACCTTGACAAATCATTAGCATCTGTATTAGCTTTTATCTAGTACTTTGGTTTCAGCAGAACATCACAGGAATTTCTGGCTCAAAAGATACTCCAGATACCTTAACCACGATTTGTTATTTTTCTCAAGTTTTGAGTTCTATTGTGCATACTACCCTTCAAATTGACATTTTCTTGTGTACTTTTGAAAACTTGTTTTTGTGTTAGTGCCTTTCTCTACCATCTCAAACAATTTATCAAGCTAAGCTGGATTTAGTAGTGGCCCTCATCAACCAACCTTTCGATACAACCAAATCTCTCTGCTTATTTAGAAGTCGCCCTCATCAACCAATTGTCCTTTAACAGTTTATATAGGGACTTCCACTTTCAAATCTCTCTGCTTCAGTACAAGGTGCATTTATTGATCCTCCCCACATCAGCAGGAGTTTCATGCACAGACTATCCTTTATTAGTTACCAAAAAAATTAGGAATAATAAGTGACATTTTAAGTCTGGGATGGTAAATTGACTAAGAAGGCAATCACAAATATCTTCTATTTCAAAGGTTAAAAGAGCAAATACCAACTTTTGATGTTTTGCAATATCAACATTTTAAGTGAATGGATATGTAATTGCAAACCCATCTAAAATTCGGATCCGGGACCATTGTTTTTTACTCACCTCAATCAACAAACTATTAATGCAATATTCAATCATTTAAATTTAGTTCATGTAACAACAATAACAACAAAACCATAAGTCTTAATTATTTTGGGTCGACTCCATAGATCTTTTATCACCATCAAAATCTGTCATTAAATTTAGTTCATGCATTTTAGGAAATTAATTGAACTGCAATTCTTACCCAAAAGGAGTTGCGAGCTATTTCAGTAATGTGTTTGCTTTTACTTGGACATTGTCTTTCAGTCATACAAGAGGAAATAAGTACCAACAGTTGGAGCACCCTTTGCAGAGTAGCAAAACTAACTCGACCTTAAATCATTCTTAGCAAATAGCACCACACTCCAGTAAGTGCTACATCCTCATCTGCTCTTGCTAGTGGCTTTTCTATGTTCTATATATAGCATAATTAACAAAGAAAATGACAGTTGAAGGCATGGATTAACTGTGACAAGTTATTGCAATAGCTGAGACAGAAATTTTGAGTGAGGATATCTCTCTTACCTGGTGAAATTTTACTTCTTTGATCAACTGCTGCATCCCCAGAAAAAACACCTTTAGCCTCTCTATACTCATCAAGTTGGAGAACTATGAGCTCTTGGTCCTGTTGGTCCACAGTCATTTTCACAATGCAGTACAATACTCCATTAGTGACTTCAGCATCAATATAGAAATCACTCGAATAGAAGAGACTTGGGTTCAAAAAGTATCCAGCAGAATGAAGAGGGCTGTGGAGATGGTTGTCCCATATATCATCTACTAGAGTCCATATAGGATCATATCTTGCCTCTTCATGTCCCAAATTCCTTTTAATCTTTTCCTTCGCACGATCAATGGAATCATATAAGAAACCCATTGGAGACCTATCTGTTCCACTGATCTGGTGCAAAATGTCAAGTAGTGGATTTGTGATCTTCAAGACATCAACTGCAGCAACCCAAAACGAAGAATCTTTCACCAACTTAGAAATGCTTTTGCCCTTTATTTTAGAAGCCAAATCTGAGGTAGTCCATGTTGGAGAGTTGAACATGTAGACCAAATTCTCTCTTTCAGATACCATGTTTTGCAATGTGATGAATGGTGTCACCGATTTCAAGTTGGAGGTTCTGACAAGATCACCTCCACGAACGTGTTTTCTCAATAGTTTTAGAGCTAAGGCATTGCTGTAAATAAATTTTGTAATGGCCTTAGCATCACTCAGTACTTTCTTGACATAATCTTGAGCTTCAATTTTCTCAAAAATGATATTTATACAATAATCTGCAGATAACGTCCAAAATATAGATCGGTATTTCTCCATTATCTTTTTTCCTGCAGCCTCAATGCAGTCTGATGTGTCATGAGCAACAACTTGAACAACATACTTAACACCTACCTCCTCAATGACATTACAAATTAATAAGAATAGTGTGTCAACATCATCAACAGCATCAGATGCATCTACATATCTCAAAAATATGGTGCCTAGGGGGCAATTCACTAGAAAACTTATGAGGCTCCTGCCCCTTGGATCAGTCCAACCATCTAGCAAGATGCTACAACCAGTTTGGCCCCAAGATTGCTTCACATCCTCCACATGCTTAAGAACTTCTTTTACCTCTTCATGTAGGATTGTTCCCTTCAATTCATCATAGGTTGGTACCTTGTATCCAGACCCACAACCAATAACAGCATCCATCATTCCCTGAAAAGAAGGTAACTTGACATTGGCAGTATCAATGCCAGCCTCAAAGAAGAACCTACCAATACACCTTGCTGCATGCCATGCTGATTCATCCTTCACTTCTTCCTTGACTATCCTGTACATGTTTTTCGTAATGAATGGACTGGGGCTGCACCAATTTACAGTTTCAGCTGAGTGAGGCTCTAAATTGTTCACTCCCTTCACCAGGGACTGTTTAGGACAAAAATTATTTACACTAGAGCTCTCTCCCACATTGATCTCTGTTGGTCCAGAGCTATTAACTGAATTAATACCAGGGGTTAGTTTGAGTTGGCAACATCTCTGTTTGCTTGATGCAGGAGAAAAGTTCCTTTTCAAAGGAAGTTCAGGATGTTCTATTCTTCCAACCTCCTTCAGCAGCCTTTCTTTCTTCTTCCCAAGCAAAGCATCCCTCATCTGAGTTTTGACCACGGCTGGAACTTCAATGCATGCAGTCACATCACTCCCAACAGCAGCCAGGTGGTGCTTGAGACGGTTAAAGCCATTCACCTCCTTTCCGCAGTACTTGCATCGGACTCTCCTCTTCTCCTCGTCAATAGAAGTTCCATGTTCCTCAATTGTATCTTCAACAGCGACTGTACTCATAACTTATGAGTTCCCTGCGCCACCTGATTTATAACAATATCAAGCTCTAAACAAGAGATAAACAATAAATTATTCCCATGTAATCTTAATTTGGACAAGTCACAGATATCATACAAAACTCAAGTGTATTGAAACCATGATGTGTACATTGTATGAAACATAGACAAACTGAAATGATAATTTTTCATAAATCAAAATCCAAAAGCAATATACCTCAGAAGCACATAATTGAAAATTTTTTTTTGCACAATGCAAAGGAATGAAAAATCAATCATCTATAGTTCTTAGAAAAACACAAAAATGCATGATTAAGGGGTCACATCACCAGAAACCAGATTACCAGTATGTGCCATCATTTTGATGATAAGAAGTTGATCTTTATACCAACAGCCCACTTATCATCTCAATCATAAGATGTCCATCTTTTGGCAGTCAATACCTTCATTGAGGAGGGATATAGTCAAAGAAATTCTGAACAAGAATTGTCACTTGGTGCACTGCATTAGACCCAACATTATGCAACTTATAATAATAATTCATGCAACAAAATTGTATTCTTAATTCTGGACTAGAAAGATGGAAGCACAACAGAAGAATAAGATAATACAAAATAAAGCAAGGGAAAGCAGCCACCAATCTCAAGAAAGATAAACCATGTTACCAGTGAGAGGGAGGATGAAATAAGATGCGTTGAATTCGATCTTCAAATCTCTAAAAGCTAGAGCAGAGTTACAAACACCAGCAGCAGAAAACTTTCTTTCTGCCCTTGCTCTCTGAGTTGATGGGAACCAAGAAAGAGACTGAGAGGAAAGTGAGAAAGAGATTATTTTTTTATGTTACATGCACCAAAGGCATATTGCCCAGGGATGGACTGAGGCTCATGAAACTTTGACAGTTCAGATCCTCCCCATCATCTTTCCATCTACACCCTTGAATAACTTTGTGAATCATGTTTCGTGGATGTCAAGTTTGATGAGCCTCAAAATAAGGGTGAACATTTGATCATTACCATATTCACATCAGTACTATTTTTATTCGATGAATATAATAAGAACACAGAAAATTCAGATGCTCTCAGTCATCTTTTGATCTATGGCTTGTAGAATTTTATGAATTGTGCTTCGTGGATGTCAAGTTTGATGTGCCTCGAGATAAGGCTGAGCATTTGATTATTACCATAATCTATTACTATTCAATGGACATGAGAAGAATACAAATGAAAAAATATTATGGACAGTGAACGACGTAAACACCGCCAATGCCGATCCCAAGCCTAGATGAAAAAGGTGGAGGGTTGCGTTAGGTTACTGACAACCAACGTAAAACTATGTCATAACTCGTGAGTATGGATCTTAACCAATTTCAGTATAGAGTTAAGTAGTCACCCAGAAGTGACGTGAGGTACCTTCACCACCTAGATGTCCCGAATTGCAAACAGTGGGCTAGGAGGACGCCCAGAAGCGGCCCATCACAACGGCGCCCAGATGTGGTGCCGAGTAGGCAAGGGTTCTCTCATTGTTTTGGACCAATGAGAGTAAAGAAGTTCGTCCAAGAACAGAGAGTTAGGTTAGCAACTTGAAATATAGGAACATTTTCAGGGAAAGAATTAGAATCGATAGACGCTATGATATGAAAAATAATAAATGTTATTTTCTTACAATAGACTAAATGGGTAGAAGATAAATCTAGAGAGATCGATAGTACTGAATTTAAAATTTGGTCTATTGAAAAAGTTAAACACAGAAATGGTGTAGAAATTATTATTGATAAGGATCTTAAGAATAATTTTATAAATGTAAAAGGATTTGTAGATCTAAAATTTATGAAAGGACGAGATGTTTTAAATGTCATTAGTGCTTATACTCCTCAAGTTGGATTAGATGATTAAACCAAACGAGAATTTTGGGAAAGCTTAGATGAAATCATTCAAGAAATACCTATAATCGAAAAATTTATAATTGGAGGAAATTTGAATGATCACGTAGGATACACATATGGTGAATATAAAGGGGTGCATAAGGGCTTTGGTTGTAGAGAAAGAAATGAAGATGATAGTATAATTTTAGATCTTGCAAATTTTGTATGATCTTATAATTATAAATACTCACTTTAAAAAGAGAGATGAATATTTAATTACTTATAAGGGTAGTCATAGTTGTAGTTAAATAAATGTTTTTCTCACTAGAAAGATAGATAAAATTATTTGTAAAAATTCTAAAGTTATACCTGACAAATGGAGATAGAGTTAATCATAAGTCTCGAATAATAGAGTTTATCTATCGGGACAAATCAAGAATTAATCATAACGTCGTACGAACCAATAGAGGCATCAATAGAGTTAATGTATAATGTTGCATGAAAATGATATTCTAAGATAGTAACCAACATTATAACACTAAATTATAGTTTATCTTGGAAACTCATAAATAAAATGGCTCAAGAGATAAAGAAAAGACGGGATTATACAAACTGAATATTAGCATATCCATATATGCATCCACTTTCATTTACTGAACATGAAAAACAGATAGGATAGTACCAACTATGCACGCACCAATGGATATGGATAAATGATGTCAGATATTTAATTAAACAGATTGACATATCAACTGAATATTAACAATTTTTATTTCTATTAATAACATATTGTGAATAGAATTGCCATTGCAGTTTGTCATTTTCCTAAATTACAACTTGAACACTTATTAGACCATTTTTAATTAAAAACGCCTTCGATAACACAAAGTTTTATCTTTTTCCTAAATTTTAAAATCATGTTTCTTTAAATTCTGACTATTTTACTAAGTCATGTTTCCATGCCCAATTGATTGAATTAATTGGCACACGTACATAATGAGGGCATACAATGACATGGTATACACAAGAGAGTTAATTGTATTGTTCTTGAGAAATTAGAGTATGTAGATGTTGCTTGGTACACGTGTGCATATCAGAAATACCAACAATTACATAATTGGTATGAAGGGTGTAGTATTAAATCCAAACCAAAATGGGGAAGCAGGTGTCCATCAGCCTTCTACATGGAGTATCCACTGGCAAAGTTCAGTCTTGTTAACCTAATTGCAGAGAGTATCAAACTAGAAAATTAAATCATTAATCTAAATGTTCAATTTTAAATCCAACTGAGGTCCAAAACCTCGAATAACGATACAATATATGTAAAGAAAATTATTTTGTCATTGGTATTGTGTTCTAAAACTTATAGTGACATCATTTAGTGAAATTTCATTAGACTGGGTGATTAACTTTTCTCCTACAACTGCAACTATGTACAGGAGATGGTAAACCCTCGAGGCATGACTTGAATTCAGAATCCTTCTTATTCAATGGAAATAACTTATATCCCTAGTTTATCCTACTTAGATTACTTCCTTACTTGAAGCTATACCTAGGAGGTCCTTCTTTCCCTCGAGTAAAGAAGGCCCTTTAGGAGAGCTCAACAATGCTAACTCGCACAAAAGCAAAAGGAACGATCTTTAAGAGAAAAAAACCACCATACCAACGCAATATTAACTCCAAGCTTGCAATCGCCCAACAAAACCCAACGCTCAAAGAAGCAAAACGTGGAGGAATACCGCAACATCAACTCAAGCGGAAAAGAGGATTTATCGGGGAAACCCTTGCGTTCTTGATTGCAAACTGATTTGCAATCGCCCAACAAAACCCAACGCTCAAAGAAGCAAAACGTGGAGGAATACTGCAACATCAACTCATGCGGAAAAGAGAACTTATCGGGGAAACCCTTGCGTTCTTGATCGCAAACTAAAAAGAATGCGACCCAGGAGTAGCATTACACCGCAGAGTTGCAGAAGAGGGGACGCTGTCACCAACCTGAACAAGGCGAAGTCTGTCACTCATGAGAGGAGAGGTGGCGCACCGCTGCAGGCCGGCTTTTGGTGGCTTCACGGTGGTCGGGTCGTGGTTTAACAGCGGCAAATTGATAGCCGACTCGCGAATACCGCCGGCCGGAGAAGACAGCCCATTAATTGTATTTCTCATTTTCTTATAATAAACAGAAAATTAACTCGAAAATTGGACAAAAGAGGAGATGCGAAAGGATGGATTTGAGGGGATGTCAGTGAGCCGTCGAGCTTAAGATGCGTGTTTCCAGCGCCGATCGTCGATCCAGGCCGTCCGTTGAAAACTTGGGGAATCGTGCATCGTTCATATCGACTTTTGAGAGATTGGACTTGCGTCAAGATTCGTGCGCCGTGATGTCGATGCAGGCCGTTCGTGCGGGATGAAGGGGTGATGGAGATTGGTGTACTCTTGGGGTTGAGATCTTCCGGACGATCCGTTGATCTGGACCGTATATGAGTAGCTTTGTGATCCACGCTTGGTTGATGTTGGGTTCACATGCTCGGTGGTGTCGATTTAAAATAATTCATGCATGGACTCTCTAATTTAGTCCATAACAACACGAGTCAACGGGGAAGTGCTGCGTGAAGCCGACGCCTTGCAGCAAATTCCACGTCCTTACTACTACATCTCCTCTCGCAGCTGCATCCCACAACAGGAAGCTCTCGCACGAGAGGTCCCAACCCGCGCAATCGGTGGCCGCCAAGGAATCCGCCTTCCACGCACTGACGACGTCGCTTATCACAGACATCGACTCCGACGTCGATCCCTCCGCCGCCTTCTTGTTTGGCAGTGCGCAGCTCGACGGCGGCGACAACGCGTGCCTCGTGGCGATCGCCTTCACTTCGGTGTCCGTCAGCGCCTGCCGCTGCTCCTCCGATAGAGGAGGGAGTCCCTCCACCGTGAAGTTGAACCGTCCGAAGTCGCCCCGGATGCAGTAGACGGCGGCGTCGTAGGCGCGCGTGGCCTTCTCCGCGGTGCAGTACGAGCCCAGCCATATCCTTGACCTGCTCTTCGGGACGCAGATCGCCTAAACCCATCGCCCCAATTTCCTTCTCCGGACTCCCCCGAAGCGGCTTGGAGTGCTTCTAATCTTCCCTCTTCCTCGGAGTTTAAAATATTAAATTATGTTATTCTTTTAATTAAATAAAAGATTTTAATTATAGTAAAATAATTTATTAAAATTATTTTAGTGAAAAAACTCTCCTAATTATTAATCTTAGACTTTACCTATAAATATATAAAGAAGATTATAACTCAACTCTCTTGTGCTATTGCTTGATCTTCGAAACAATAAATTGATTTATTTATTCTCTTACTTAATAGTTTCTTGTTGAAGGGTGCAATAATAAATATTATATATATATATATATATATATATATATATATATAGTGAGAAGCTCTTCAAGATGTCGATGCATTCATGACTCAACCAGACCTCACCAGATCATAACCTATTCTGCCACACCAAGTGCACTTCTTTCCCTCCCTTCTCCTAGACCTCAGCTAAAACCTGTCATCACAAGGTCTTCTTCAACGTCTTATAACCCCCATACCACAGCTTATGGCCTCACCAGTCGATAGGAAGTCAACATGGGAGACACATGCATCGATGGGGAGGAGCAGTTCATCTTTCGCAGCAAGTACTCGTCGGTCTCGATACCGGAACATGTGACACTGCCGGAGTTCGTTCTCGGCGACGCCGAGGCTTATGCTGACAAAGTGGCGGTGGTGGAGGCGTCCACTGGAAAGTCGTACACGTACCGGGAAGTGGTACGTGAGACAAGTAGGTTTGCCAAGGCCTTGAGGTTACTGGGCCTGAGGAAGGGGAATGTGGTGGTGGTGGCCCTCCCCAACATCGCCCTGTATCCGGTGGTCGCCCTCGGCGTTATGGCTGCCGGCGGAGTGTTCTCAGGAGTGAACCCTCTGGCTATGCCGGCTGAGATAGCGAAGCAAGTGGAGAACTCAGAAGCCAAGTTCATCGTTGCCGACAAGCTCGCTCATGACAAGGTTGGTTCTCTTTAAGGTTGTCAATCGATCCCTCCGGTGTTTTAGCTCAGGCTCGATGACGCTACATGCAACAGGTGAAAGATCTTGGGGTACCGGTAATACTAACTGGAGGAGATCAGGTGGTGGGTGCCGTAGCATGGGATGATCTGCTTCAAGCGACGGACCGTGCAGGTACAAGCCACCATGGAGAGAAGGTGAGCCCAGGAGACCTGTGCGCCCTCCCGTACTCCTCAGGCACCACAGGTTGCTCCAAGGGGGTCATGCTGACCCACAGAAACCTGGTGGCCAACCTCTGCTCCACCCTCTTCTGTTGCGGGGAGGAGATGGTAGGCCAGGTGACGACGCTGGGCCTCGTGCCGCTGTTCCACATCTACGGGATCACCGGCATCTGCTGCGCCACCCTCAGGAGCAAGGGGAAGGTGGTGGCGATGGATCGCTTCGAGCTGCGGGCGTTCCTCCACGCGCTGATCGCCCACGAAGTGGACTTCGCGCCGATCGTCCCGGCCATCATGCTGGCGATGGTCAAGAGCCCAATCACGAACGAGTTCAATCTCGACAAGCTAAAGCTCAAGTCGGTGATGACGGCGGCCGCACCGCTTGCGCCGGAGTTGCGAGCTGCCTTTGAGGCGAAGTTCCCCGGCGTCCAAGTTCAGGAGGTACGTGCATTGCATGCCATGCCATCCGTAGCAGCACAACGTGTCTCAGATTGCAGACATGGCTAAGCAGTCTATTCCTTTCCCTAGGAGATTACAATATTATAAGTTATATATATATATATATATATATATATAATTTGTGCGTTTAATCCTCCTTTCAAAATCTACAACTTCTATGGTCACTTAATGAACAAGATCAAGTGTGAAGAATAACTCTGACACTGTTCTCATGTTCTCTTTGACCTCTTGCGCTGCAAACTAGGCATATGGGCTGACAGAGCATAGCTGCATCACACTAACTCATGGTGATCCAAGGAAAGGTCATGGCATTGCCAAGAAGAACTCTGTTGGCTTCATTCTTCCCAACATCGAGGTCAAGTTCGTCGACCCCAACACCGGTCGATCCCTCCCCAAGAACACACCAGGGGAAGTCTGTGTCAGAAGCCAATGTGTCATGAAAGGTAAGTACTCCTCTCCCGTATGATATGTAGATGTGATCATTCTGATACTGTGCATGACCTGATAGGCTACTACAAGAACAAAGAAGAAACCGAGAGGACTTTGGATCAAGAAGGGTGGCTTCATACTGGTGACATCGGGTACATAGACGACGATGGTGATCTGTTCATCGTAGATCGCATGAAGGAGCTGATCAAGTACAAAGGATTCCAGGTAACAAAGTGCATGCCTTAAAGATTCCAAGAAGAACAAGCTCAGGTCTCTTACGGCCGTGCAGGTGGCTCCAGCTGAGCTAGAAGCCATCCTCGTCTGCCATCCTTCGGTCGAAGACGCAGCTGTTTTCTCGTCGGCACCATCAACAGATTACTCATACATTGATTCGTAAGAATGCTGCTGATTTCTGCACTGCATTGCGTGCAGGTTGCCAGATGAAGAGGCAGGGGAGATCCCAGCAGCCTGTGTCGTCATGGGGAGAGACGCCAAGGAGAGTGAGGATGATATCATGGGCTATGTTGCCTCAAGTGTGTCAACATACAAGAGAGTAAGAATGCTGAACTTTGTGGACTCCATACCAAAGTCAGCCTCTGGGAAGATAATGAGAAGGGTTCTGAGGGACAACATGATCAACAAGAACTAACAAGCTTGGAAACTGTGATGATATCTCAGTCTAATAAATCAATAGAATCTCTCAGTAGAAATATTACTTACGAGCAACAACATCAACTATCATACTAATAGAATTGCAAGATTTTCTTCTATAGATGTTGGTGAATAAATACAGCATCTACAGGATACTACTGTGATGTGAAATGGTCCCAAACACATGAAAGACCACTTCATTAAGAAAACTATGGTATTATAAAAAATAGAGTTAAAAATAAATTCGAAATTATGAAAAATAGTCATAAAATCCATGCAAAGAAGACTAAGAAGCACACTTCCAAAAGCTAAAGAACAAAATTATTTCAAAGCAGAAGGACAGAACTTCAAAGAAGAGGGCAGAGTTAGATCAAAGTCCATATTGTTTTTTCCTTGTGATTTGGAAATCATGGGCCAAAAAATTTTGATAGACCCTCATATTGGACATCATGACAAGACAGAAGAATTATTGTTTGGCTATGCAAACCATAGGGAATGGTAGGTGTGCTCCATGATGATTGATTGCACCATCACATCAATTGACAATGAGCACCAAAGGAAGGTTCCCAAATGAAGAGGACACTGACTTAGTGTTCATCAGCTCCAATGTATGTGTCATCAATGGTAGTGCCCACCTTTGATTTCCCTTCCCATCCAATGCCCCATTCACCATGATGTGTGTGGGTCCCACACACAATACAAGGTTCTATTTGCTTTAGACAAATCCCAATGGCTTCCTATTCATCACAATTTGTTGGCTCAAATCACATTTTCCATCACTATATGAGATAAAAATTATAAAATATATCCCCACTCATAATAATAATAATAATAATAATAACAAAATAGTAATAATAATAATAATAACAAAGAGTTTTAATTTCATAATAAAAAATAAAAAAAATAATACATCAGACAAAAAAATTATGATATGATTTCACCAGCAACAACAAGTTATGATGTCCTGACATTTGAATTTTTTTTTATTGCCATTAAACACTATATGAAATAATATTTTTAATTAAATCCAAGCATTCAAATCATTTTTTGCAGTTTTTGCATTGATAAATATTTAGTTTCCAAGATTTGTGCCCATATTAGACTCGTATTAATTAAAATAATATCTTCATCCGATAAGAAACATAATCTGTAAATTTGTAAATTCATACCAAATTTAAAAAAAATAATGATTAATGATTGTTCTAAAAGTTATTATTGTTGTGGGAATATTAAGTCAAATGTATATGAATTTGGACCTGAACTCCACCTAATTACCCTCCTGCCACTCTCTTTCTCTGTCCGTCTTGTCTGTCTGCGCGGACAAACGCGCACACGGCGCCGCTCGCTCCTGTTCTGAGGGACCAGAGAATAGGTGGGCTTCCGCTCCGCTCTCAGTTGGTCCCGGCTTCGACACGGACGCGTTCAATCCCATCAATTCAATCGCTGGAAGCACCCATGCTGAGACTACGGTGGGGCAGACGGCAGCGGAAGCGGTACAAGATCGAAGAAAACGAGGGCATGGGTGGCCAAAACTCGCGCACATGGTCGGTAGGGTAAGGCCTCTCTTTCCGTCCTCGGACTCGTGCACGCATGTCACATGCATCCTAGAAAACCTGTAAGCTGGATTGGAAACCGCGGCTATCTCCTGTTTCCAGATTCATAAATGGCAGAATCCTAGCAGAAGAGAAAAGAAAAAGACGGCATTAACTGGGTGTTGGCCTGTTTACAGATTCCGCCTTTGCTAACTAGTTTGTCGGTTTATCTGTTATTTTCTCTTATTCCCTTTGAGAGGGGTTCTGCTTCTGTGGTGGAAATCGGTGGCCTTTTTCCCCTCGTTTGCGAAAAAATTGGATCTTGCATCTGCCCTTTTCCTTCTCCGACATGGAAGTAGAAGGGCTACCCTTTTTACTATGCAAAAGTGGCGGGGGGAAGGGCGAAGGGCTGTTTGGAGTGATCATATTGGGGATTTGCTCCAAGCAGTTGCAAAAGAAGAACGAGTCCTTTATGATCAGAAACTCCATTATTTGCGTCCATTATTTGCGCTCAATCATTTTCCTTTATTCACTAGTTGGATTCAAGGCGCAAATTTGAAGGATGAAAATGATTAAGGGAAGAGGATTTAGCCTAAAGGTTGCTTCTTTCTTGAAGTCATTTGCAGTTTCTTGGAGGACCCGTAGAATGACAAATCTGGTCCCCGACCCCTGGACCTGCTGTGTCAGAAACTCATGTGTTCTATTGATTCAGCTGGGGAGGGAAAGTAGAAAAGGTGTTCCTGACTCATTACCATGTTGATTTACCGTATTATCTGGTCTCTTATTTTGTAGCAGTAAAAGATATCCAGTTTTTCCTTCTTCTGGATTCTCTGAGAAGCTTGTTTTCAGATTGATCTGGTGCTCAAAGCCTCTAACTAATCGGAAAACTGGAAGGTTTGTAGCTTATGTGTTTGAGTTTTTGTTAGAATGAAAAAGCTTCTGTACAAGAATATGAAAGAGACTATTGTTGTTCATTTCCTATAGGAGATCAGGTCATCTTCTCCCAAAGGCTGGCATGTGGTAAAACAGTATAAGATGGTATTCTGTTGAATAAGATAACTATGTAAACTTTGAAGGAAAAATTGGATGGAGAGAGAGAGAGAGAGAGAGACTTGGTATCTGTATAGGACAAAAACATGGAAGAAATATGATTTTAATGGAGGGGCCGCTTGAATTTGAGTTATTGTTTTGGAAGCAAAATTGAACTTGTTGTCCTGATTTGTCAATCAACCATCTGGTGGGACAAGCCTTCATGATATACATGTCAAAATTGATTGCCTCACCGTCATGGGAATATCTTCCTGTATCTTGTGAGATTCATCTCCTGTTCAGATGGTAGACAATGGAAGTGAAAGAGATGACCACCTGCATAAATGGTTGAGCGTTTCCTCGAGAGGAGTTGAATCTAGCCTGAATTAGGGGGGTTAGGGCTCAGTGTAGGAAGTTGATGTGTATCAGTGTTGCAAGCACAAAAGGAGATTTTCTCTACTGTATGTTTGCTGAGATGATGGCTTCCTGATTCCAAGAGGAGAAACATGTACTTAAACATCTAGTTGCTAGTTTTTCAGGTGTCACATTGGATTTGTTGTTATTTCTGATTTGTTCCAACAGCTTTTGTAGAACTCATTGTGTTTGCATTGACAAGCTGTGGTTTTAAAGCACAGTACAAGTTGGACCAGTTCCTATAATTTTCTAGGTATGAACTCTTTCTGAACTTCGTTTCTTGTGCTCCCTTGAATTTTTTTTTAATTATTGAATTTCTTGAATCTTTGCCTTCTGCATTAGATTCACCATGGATTGGACCTCAAAGATGCCCTTCTCATTTGATTGGGAGACCTTGGCACTACTCAACGGAGAAGAAACTGAAATTTCTAAATCTGCACAGGAACTTAAATCAAAGATCGGAAGCGGCATAGGAATGGGCACTGGGTCTCTGCAATTTTCTGGTGGGGATATGTGTTCTAGCTCTAAAGTGGGTTCCTGTTCATTCAAAAGCTCCATTTCAGCATCTGATTCTACATCAAATGCAATGAGGAAAATACCGGAGCTGAACTTTGAATCAGTTGGAGGATTTCTTGTCAACCAGAACAAGAACAAAGATTTAGCTAGGGTGGACATTTCTGAAACTTCACCTGCTGTAGTGTCTGCAGAAGGCACTAAGGAGCCTGTGATTACTCTAAAGCTTGGAAAAAGAACATATTTTGAAGATCCTTGCTTGAGGAATAACATGAAGAGCTCATATTTTCCAGCTTCTAATCCCTTGTCAACTACTTCGGTTAAGAAATCAAGGGTATATCAGCAGAACTTGCTGAGAGCTTACTGCCAGGTGGAAGGTTGTAACATCGACCTCTCCACATCTAAAGATTATCATCGAAAGCATAAAGTTTGTGAAAGCCATTCCAAGTCACCCAAGGTCGTTGTTGCTGGTCAGGATCGCAGGTTTTGCCAACAGTGTAGCAGGTGATGCTTTTGTTAGTTTTAAAATTTTATTTTCTCTCTCAAACATCAACTTAATCCACATGGATCTTTTAAGGTCCACCCCCCTTTAACACACAACCTTCTCCACCCCAATTTAAAGGTATATGGTTAGTTGGTATTGTACTTTATTTTCAGCTTTTACTCCTAGTTGTGTGATGCTGACATGCTTCAATTTTCATTCATGTTGCCTCTAAATATGGTTATGCTTCTTTTAGGAGTTCCATAGTATGATTACATGTATGGATAATAAAGCTGTTCTTGATTTAGGGTATTGTAATTCCAATCCACTGAATCTGTGTAGTTAGTCCTCATTCTTCTTGTAACAGATATCACCTTCTTGGTCATCTTTCAGGTTCCATGATTTGTCTGAATTTGATCAGAAAAAGCGAAGCTGTCGTAGACGGTTATCTGATCATAATGCACGTCGACGGAAGCCACAGCTAGAGACAATCTCATTCAGTTCTTCAAAGCTTTCAGTATCATACTATGGTATTTGTTGATTCTTGATAGTTCACCATTCATTGTTGAAATGAATAGCTTAATATCTGATACATGCACTTCTTTCATGATTGAGTCGACAGTTTGCTGTCTTTTCCTGCAGACTAAATACCTTTTGATATGAATTCAGACTTCTTTATTGTAATCCACAAGATGTAGTCTTGTGGCCAGTGAAAACACAAATATAAATGCTTTGTAGGTCATTATGGGTCTGTACAATGCTACGGATAGAGGAGATGAGAGTGACAAATAAGGAAGCTTTGGAGAGCTTAGACAGTATAGATGTTTCTTACAACTGATCGTTGCTTCCTTGCATATTACTAGAAGTGATTTGTGCTTTGATCTATTGAAGGTATGAGAAAATTTTGGTGTCCCTAAATTTGACTAGTGTTATTATCCTTGTCGAATCTAAATGGTATGGGAAGATCGCTGTTGTCATCCTTAATATGTCTTATTCATTTTGTTGTCCCATGACTATATTGTGTCATGGCCTAATCTGATGAGATAACTGACTTGTTAACTTGATGATAAGCTTAGAACCGCCTGACCCAAAATACTTCAATCCAAGTTAATGATAGTAGATCCATTTTAACTGTATAAACTAATTCAAATATCCTCTTACAACTGAAGTGGGCCTAAACTGGGACATTACATATTATGTGTTACATGTTAAGAGAATTAGGTTCTAAGGAAACTTCAATTAGGAAGGTTGTTTCATTCTGTTCTTTAATTGTTTTTCTAGTATTTTATTATATGTTCCCAGAAGATTAGGATGAAGGATGATTTTTGAGACGACAATGGTGATTTTTTTATGACTTTTTGTTTGCAGCTGTTAGTTGAAACCAAGATGCAGAACAGGTTGCTGTACATTTGGTTAGTTCTTAATGTGAATCTAAGCTGTGGCAAATTGGCTTGTATTCCTCTGTCCATTTTTTTCTTTTTTCATTCTTGAATGCATTTTCATCATCGGTCTTTTGTTGTTGTTTTAGGAGTATTTATTGTACTTCTTTTGGCTCACAGTTTTCCCTCTATATTAGATAAACCTTGTTTTGAGGAAGAATCAAGTTTAAGAAAGTCCGGATGCCCCCTTAATGGATTTTCTTCTTGCAAATTATTAAAAAGAAAACTACGAATTGCTTAATCTATTCAGAATCTATTTTAGATGGCCTAGATGAAAGGGTTGCATGAAGTAGCTTTCCATGAATCGAATTCAACAAATGTCAATTCTATTTGATTGTGGGCTAGTTACTCTATTTTCCTTGTGCTATAACATAAAGATGATTTGGTGAGTCAGTCTCAGACTTTGACTGTTTGTACGGTTTAGTGCATCAATCTCTCAAAGACTTCTGGGAATAAAGTCGACAAACACAAATGGTCAAACCCATCACACATGCTTTGTAGGACAATATTGAATTCCTTCTTGATCTGGACATGGTGTGAGAGATGCAAATGCACCAAAGAAGTCATCTACCACGCTAAATATTCGATGATGATTTGTAATCATTTTGACAGGGAGTTTGTATTCCAGTTCATATGATATTTTGGAGTAATGTTTTTAATTAGCCATTTGGAGTTCTGTCATCAGTCACTGGGTAAACTTACTTTCAGCTTCTCACTGGGACCATGATTTGTGGTGGTTTTTATGTTGCATTCATGCATTAAAACTTTGAGTTGTCTCCATTGGCCATAGATCATGTGTATTTGTATCCTTTCATGTTCATTTGCTTAGATTTCCTTTTTTGTGTGTTATGCAGATGACAAACAGCAGGCAAATCTTGTTTTTGGTCAATCTCCTTTCCGTCAGATGACAAGCATTGCAAGCTCAATATGGGATGGCTCAGGCAGCTTGAAGCTAACACAAAGTGAAGGATCTTGGAGAAAGTCGAGCGAAACAGGAAGTACTAATGGGCAGTTGCTTTTTCCTAGCAATACCAACTTAAATAATGCTTACACTGGCCATGATATGGACAGTCTCCTGGCACTAAATGGCACCACTGCTGAGATCCTCAATCAAGGTAATGTTTTAGAGCACCTTTTATCCCTGCAGAAAGGCAAATGGCTTCCATTAATTTAATGCAGTTGAGTTCTCCATTGCCAATCTGCTGCTTTCTTGCAAATGGATAGTTGGTCGATAATATTATTTAGGTGATGCATGATAGGAAAGCTAATGAAATTATGAATATTAGTGGTACGAGGAAAGAAGAGGTAGAGGGAGAGTTAAAATAACTTTATTAGAAACTATAAATAAAGATTTAAATATTCTTAATTTAATTAACATAATGATTTTAACATAAATCAATGGTGACATAATGTAGCCGACCCAAATAATTGGGATTGAGAGGAAAGATAGTGCTCAATAGCTTTTTTTTCTTTACTTGAATTGTTTGTCATTTGGCCTGTTCATTGGTATCTCCAAAGACATTGGTACAAGGTAAATCCACTAATGGCAACCTTTTTTTTTATATTATTGAGAGGATGTATTTTAGTTCATTGTTAGTAAAGAGAATATACATGTATATGCCAGCCCGAAATATCCAGGACTTGATAGCCTGTTGCTGTACATATCATAGGTTGTGGATGTGTTGGACTGTTTGAGTTCTTGAGCACTCACAGTACAACACATCCTAAGCTAGACATGGTTGACTTATTATGCTTTTGAACCAGTTGACCATGCTAAGTTAGACATGGTTGACATTTTGCTTGTTATCCTCTACCACTGCTCTTCCAGAGTACATTGAGAGGAGCTGCTATCACAGCCTATATTTTGCAAATTCATAGCTTTGATGGTATAAGTTGGATGTGTTGTGATCATCTCCGTGATTCGTTTGCAGGTCTTGAAGCGACTGCTACTTTTCAATCGGATGGAGCACCGGATCTTTGGCGTGCTCTCTCTCTTCTGTCAACCAACAAATCTTGCAGTCCACCAATCACAGGGTATGCGAACGATGCTCGTCCTGAGCAGCCCTTATTGCAAGTGCTTCCATTTGAGTCGAGGAGCGACAGTGGCCATCAGCTCCAGGAATCTCTCCTGTTCAAGCCGTTCTTTGGGACAGTGTTCGTTGACACCAGTCATCTAAGCTAGCATCATCAGGTGTTTGATTTGTATACCCTTCTTCCCCTTCCTTTTCTTTCCTGCCTTTGCTGCTCATACTTAATGAAACCCATGATGTTTCAGTTTCAGGATTGCCATGTTGGAGAATAAACAAAGTCTGATAAGTCCTCACATCATTTTACATCTTGAGTTTCCCTCTTATGCCAAATTGCTAAGCTTGGCATCTGATTGCATTCAGAGCACCAACGTCCTCCTCCTCTAAGGTAACTGAGTTCTGAAACATCCATTTCTCCTTTTGTTTCTGCCAGAATGGCTGTGTTACTTGCTTAGAAATAAACTCCTGAGTTAGGAAGTGGTTTATTATCATCAATGCACACCGACAACGATGACGACGATGGCAACGCAGCTCATCGTTGGATTTGTTGTCGTCAAAGTGTCACAGATCAAAGTGATTAGACCAGTAAATAGAGAATTTCTTATCTTTTTGTCTATTAGTTGATAAGTATCACTTTGGAATCTCAATACAGATATGAATAAGGTTATGTCACTAATTGTACACTAAGTTAGATCACACAACTGGGTTAATCTAAAAAAAAGGCAAAATACAACACAACCAAGTTAATTGGATGAATGGGTGAAGGAAAATTAACTGTTTATGATGAGTAGAAAATGAAAACTAGTTGTAAGGCACAGGTACAAAGCCCAATTTATGTGACATGATTCGAGCACAAGTCCACAGGGGAGAAGCATCACTGCAGACAATTTTTAGAGTCTAAATATATCAACTATGAGATTCTTGACGGTGTTAAGTAGATTAGTTGGCAAAAATTTTGATATTTCTTCGTAAAATATTGGGTTTAAATTTCGTCTTCCTCACTTTTTTTTTAAACCAAAGAAAAGAACAAGGTTCAGTGGAGTAGACATTTGAACTCAAAATTTGTGCATCACAAATATAAAAAAAAAAGTTAAGTTGGTGAAAAACCAAATTTGTAATAATTAGTAAAATAAAAACAATCCTATAAACTCGAATTTTGTGCAACACAAATTTTAAAAAAAGGGTCAAGCTGGTGAAACCCAAATGTTTAACAATTAGTAAGACAAAAATTAACCTGTGAAGTCAAAAAAATTTGTGCATCACAAAAAAAAAATAAATCAAGTTGGTGAAAAACCAAATCTGTAATAATTAGTAAAACAAAAATTATCCTATAAACTCAAATTTTGTGCATCACAAAACTGACAATTAGTAAAACAAAAATTAACCTATGAACTCAAATTTTGTGCATCACAAAAACAAAACAAAAAAAGGCCAAGCTGGTGAAAACTCAAATTTATGACAATTTGTAAAACCAAAATTAACCTTTGAACTCAAAATTTGTGCATCACAAAAAAAAGAGGTCAAGTTGGTTAGAAACCAAATTTCTAACAATTACTGAAACAAAAATTAAACTATAAACCAAATGGTCAGGCACCTCATCAAATTTCTAATTTTCAGAATTACATGTAAGCTCCTTCACAAGTTGACAATACAGTGGCCTACCACAAAGGATAAGAAAGATGAGGTTTTTACTTATCAAGGGAGCCAAGGAGGAATGACCCGATCGTGCATCATCTAATGACGGTGGAAGCCTTAAGCGTAGAGAAATCGAAGAAGTAGACGAGATGGTCAGATAAAAGCAGCGCTGAAGGCAGAGGATCTGCGCCAAAACCCTAGCATTCTTTCTTCGCTCCAAAAATGTCGTTACTTGGGCGTATGAACGAGATCCGAAGACAAACCCCATGAGGAACTCTCGGTGCTCTCTTCGAATGACCGAATTGAGAAACGACCGAGCATGGTTGATTTTGCAACCCAAATTCCGGATTAAGCTAAGAAAAGACTGAACGGATCGGGCCTGGCAAAAAGATCGGGTTTCAAACCCTAACAACAAATCCATGAAGGATTGCGCTCTCAGATGAAGAAGCAAGACGCCATTCCCAGACTCAGGATTTGGGATTGCCGGGAAGCGGAGAAACCGCGAGATTCGAGAGGGTAAGTCGGATCAAGCATGGTTTTTACTCTTGGCATTACCACCCAGCAATTGGTGATGCAGGGTGGGGCTCGTATCTGGAGAGACGTAGTTGCGGACTCGATAACGAGCAAGCGAATAGTTATAACTTTGAGAATATTAAAGGGCTTGGATGTGCCTCTATTGGATCAGATGGACGGCTGTGATTAGACAAGAGGATAATAGTAATTTGTTTTTGTCCCTCCTCTTTATCTATTTATGAATTAAAGTGCCTAAATGGTTCAGAAAATGGAAGCACAAAGTAATAATATGAATAAGACCTCAATAATTGGATTAGGAAAGCATAAAATGAATAAAGAGTGATAATAGATCATGGGTGGTGATCACCATATTTATTTTTAAAACATATTAAAATAGATTTTTATTATATTAAATAACATATATCGTAGTGGACTCAAACATAAGACCTATGACTTGTGTAACAATACACCAATCAATTAGATGTTGTTGAGACGATCACCATATTTATTATCTTCTTGCAAACATTGGGTATTTAAATTCACACAATATGATCTTCTCCACAACTTATTTTAACATTAAACTTTAACCAAAACTAATGTATGTTTAAAGACACTAATTGCAGAAAAAAAGGCCATTATTTTTTTTCTCCGAAATCTCTTTTCTTTCTTAGATAGTGTTGGGCAATCACTATTTTTTTCTAGGAATTGATAAGTTAGACTTAAAAGGAAAAAAGAATTGCTATATAATTTCCTTCAAGCTATTTTACAACCTGGATGAGTTTTGCATGTTCATCAATAGCATCTTCTGGCAAGGAAATATCCATGGAATTGAGGAATTGAAATCACTAGAGAGGAGCTTGAAACCTTTACAGAATTGCCTTGATTCCAGAGAGCTTTAGCATTTCAACAATTTGCTTTGGTACCTTTTTTGTTTCTTTTCTCCAGTAAACATCTTTTTTAACTTCATTTGCCAGTTATGAGCATGAGGTATCTCTTGTTTCAGCTGATTTGATCAACATTTAGTGCCACCAATTTGGTTGCAGGAAAACTTGTTCATGCTTATAATACAACCAAGGAAGGAACATTCAGCATGTATGAGTGAATGCCAATACAGATTCATGCTTTTACTCAGATTAAGAAGACATACTTGACTCATTCAAATTATGCGGGGCTGGATCTTGTATCACTCCAAGTCGATTCCAAAATTGGAGAGAAGGATCTTTAGCTGTTGAACGAAGCTCGCGCCTGTCGCATACTCTGTCAGCAGTCCTATTGCAAATCCGAATATCGCCCATCTGCAAGAATCGCTCTGCTAATCAGCAAAACAAACAAGTTGCATAGGACAGAAGGTGATGACTTTGCATCCCAAGGAATTCTCCAGTACAAACAACTCTCATCAGTGGAGAACTTTGATGGAGTACCATGAATTCAGTTTCTGATTTGTAATGAACAGACGAGCAGCATCTAGAGAGAAAATTCTTGTGAATCAGTGGGTTAGACTTTGATGAGGATGAGAACGTCTGGTTGATACTAGAAATTTCTTATGCACACAAGAATCTCATTTTGAAGATAGAAAAGGTAGAAGAATTGACTAACACCATTTATTCACAATGGGTTAGAGTAGACATTGATGAGGATGAGAAGGTCTGGTTGATACTAGAAATTTCTTATGCACACAAGAATCTCATTTTGAAGATAGAAAGGGTAGAAGAATTGACTAACACCATTTATGCTGTACCTTGATATATACAATGAACAGATAACTACCACCTTTTCTCCTGAAAATTCAGTTCACCAAATCACATGTGATTTGGTAGCATTAGGACTTAATTTGATCTTCATATACTGTTGAAGCACTTTCCAATCTTGCATTTACTAATACCCATATATAATTTATCTTTATCAAGGAGTGATTTTTTTTTTTTGTTATTCTCAAGTTGTTTACATTTTAATGACAAGCATTAGAATGAAACAAATACCTGACATACATCACATTCTTGGGTGACGGAAACTAAATCCAAAATTGTGGAACACTCGAACGCCTCTAATTCCATCTTGAAAATGCCTTCCCTGTATTCCCAAGTCCCAAACACAAACCAAAATAACCCATGAAATAAGAAATCAATTGTTCATCTGAAGGCAAATTATAAATTAAAAAAATGAAGCATCCTTTTTATTAAAACTGAGAGTTTGGATGGGGAAATTCTCTGGTACCTGCCATTGCTCATCTCATTCTTGCCCAAGAAACCAAAGAAAGGACCCTGGTCTGCCTCCTCCAGTTTCTTCTGCTTGAAGTGGTCCTGCAGCTCCTTTGCCACCACCCTCTGGTACTCCAAAGTCACCATCCCCTCCTTGGTTGCGGGCGCTTCAACCGGCCTCGGAGGAGACTGTGCTGGGGCAGGAGGAGATGGAGGAAGCGGTGGTGAAGGAAAAAGACGGGTGTGGGGAGGAGATGCAGGTCTCCTCAGGGGGCCCTCAGCTTTGGAGGAGATGGAGGAAGCGGTGGAGAAAGAAGAGGGGGTGGGGTGGGGTTGCGCAGAGAGGAGCTGCAGGTCTCCTCAGGGGGCCCTCAGCTTTGGAGCTCCTGATGATGGTGGATGACCTCAAAGGCAATCTATGAGAAGGATGAGGAGAGACTCCAATCTTGATGGAAGGAATTGAGGAAGCCATAGACACCCTCTTTTCCCTCCTCTCTTCTGGCTTCGGACTTGTTTCTTGTGGGGAAGAGATAGAAAAGGAGGGACAAAAGAACAGAAACAAGAGAGTTGGGTTGAGGTGTGGATAAGATTACAGACAAGTCTTCCTTATGATGTCCTTCTAGCCCAAGCTTTAACTACTTGGAAGGAACAGGAACTGCAACTCGAGGTTTCAGTTGATCACACACCAGTAAACAGAGCTTCCATTCCACCACCACAAGAAAAAGAAACAAGTGTTCCATCGAATGAATTGATGATGAGTCAATCATGCATACCTTCCATCGTTGCCTCTGTAATTAGAAGACCCGGTTGTTCAAAAGACGCATCTCCTTCACTATCACTGCATGCAGCAAAAAGGTTTTGGCAGCAGTTATTATTATCTCTGATAGTTCAAGATTGAAATCCAGCAGAGCTACTTGTTTCATATATAAAAAAGCAGGATTCAAGATTCAGGATGTATGCCACTGACGATGTGAATATTTTGCTTGATAAATCAGTCAAGACTAAAATTCCCAAAACATTACAAGATTTTCTTCCAAAAATGATTAGAAAAATATTTTGACAGATAAGAAAAACATCACACGGAAACCAATCCTCTGCATCCCATATTTATGAGAAAAGAAATGGTCCGAGGATAAACTGAAATTACAAGTAAAATTAGTAGAGAGAGAAATGAAAAGTGACTATATGACCACCACCACAGATACTTAAAACTCTTTGCACACTTTTTTCATGCTCTTGTCAAACTACTAAAATTGAGGAAAATAGGATTTTAAATACCTTCCCTTCAGTAGCCAGAAGATTTGACCTGAAATTAGGCCACAAAGTAAATGATTTTCGATTGGTTACTGAAGTATGAAATTTATTAATACAAGAAGAATAAAAGATGCAAAAGCAAAGCAGTTTTATACATGCAAGAAAGGCCATTTTAATTGATACAGTAATATAAACAACATAATGTTAAGCAAGGAAACACTAAATGAATATTACAATACAAAGGGCAAACAGGATATGAAGCCTAGATTGCCAGTCAAAAAAGTGAAAACAATCAGGAAAAGGAAACTTGGCTGCAACAAATAAAAAATAGGAGTGGCACAAAAAGGGTACGTGATTGTCCCACATTCTCCTCCATGATACTTGAACAAACGTATTTGTTGGTTGTGATGGAGTTGACTGGTTTATACAGCCAATTACAATGCAGATTTCTGCAGTTGCCAGAGGATTACCATGCTTTCCCAATCTGCTTGGGTCCTTGCATCCATTTATGGATATATTAAATTTACTGAATTACACATTCACATCTTCTGAATTTTTCATGCTCAAATTCCCCATCCGATGGATTGTCATCACTGCAAAACATGGACTCGATATCAGCGATGTTAAAGTAAGCACAAGGAAAAGCTATTTATATCTATTTCTTATAGTAAAAAAAAAAACATGTTAAACCTAAGTGAGCTTCGTTTCACATAATAAGGTGACTTATGTCATATTTAAGCCAAAGCTTTCATGACAAAAAAAACACTGATACCAGCTGAACAGCAACTGATGATGAGAGTCCCAGAAGATAAACAATTACTACATTACTAGAGGAAGCAAAGTCCAGGTCTATGTAAAGCAAGGATCATTTGGAGTAGCACCAAAATTCAAAAGCAATACAAAAGCCTTGCTATATTGGCTTCTCAGAAATCCATTTATGGCTTTCATCCCATGTGTATTTTATCCGATCCAGGATTTGATGATGTCCCTTGTATAGACGTATCAGCCCTAATCCTAATTTCTGGTGTCACTGATTTTTCCTAAATTTACAGACGTACCAGCCCTAATCCTGGACTTTGCGTCACAGGTCAAATTATCTGCACTGATTTTCAGTTATCATCTCCTTGGAGAAAAAACAAAGAAAGAAAGAAATAGGAAATCATAGCGTATATTGAAGCCAATAATACTGTTTTAGTTCATACAATACAACATTAACATGTGATTGGTGAACAAAAACATAAGAGTAACTTGATAAGCGAACTACCAGGCATCTTGAAAGGTATTACCCGTTTCAAAGAGGCCCAACGCCACCAGGCTTCTATTGCAAGATCAGCATATTGCGGATAAAGCTAGGTAACACAGTGCCATCACACCAATATCAGTTGGTATGATGTATAATTTCCCAGATCATGCAACAACCTCAACACTATATTCTTAAATACATAAGGTCCAGAAAGTGTCAATTCTCATGCCTTGGATCATAATTCTGTTATCCTGCCTCCATTTTCTGCCTAATACTGGAAATATTATTTGAAGCATCAACAAATTCGTAATTAATCAAGTGAATGGGGGGCAAGAAACAGTAATGTCAATCGAAGCAATTTCATATTTACTGACCAAGATGCAGTTACTGTTCTAAGTATAGTACTTTCAGGACTACCAAAATAGATCCTAAAGGTAAAATCAGCCACCTCAAAAAGGAAATTTCACACGATACAATTGGCAGAAATCTTGGGTGCCTGAACCTCTTCCCAACCAAATACAAAGGATGTCTGGATTATCAGATCCATGACAATCATTAACAATTTTTCCTGGCAATACCAGAACTCAATGGGAAACATTTAGGAAATTATGGGTCTTTAGGGTATGGCATGAAACCAGCTAAATGTGCACATCCATTCAAGATAGATAGAAGTAACTTTAATCGAGTTTAAGCAATTTTACATATTTTACTGTCATTGATTACTAGATACAATGATGATCAAGCAGAAGTCAGAGGCAAATAGTAAATGGACTAAATTAAAAGCAAACATAAATACTCCTGCTTGTCTCTGGTGTGTGTTGGGAATGCAGTGTTAAGAAGCACAACACCATACAAACTCTGTTTATATTATTCGCTAATATTGGTAAGGAAACATACCTGAGCTCAAATTCTCTTATCTCTACAAGCTCCTTCCCACATTTATCAGTCCACTGAACTTTCCTCCCTACAGTACAACAAGATGTCTCATTTTCCACTCCTGAAACTTCATGGGAATCATCACCTTCACATGCTGTGGAACAATTTCTGGAAGGCTTCTTTATATTACTCTTGAGACAAGGCTTCCTTTCACTCACAGTAGCAGCACCACTGATTGTTACCTTGTTCGCATCAGAAGATGATGAATCTGATGAAGTTTCAGACTGGTTAGCTAGATCAAGTTTGTGAGGAAATTGTCTGTCTTGAGCACAACTGAAACATATGAAGGAAGTGCATCCTTGAGAATTTTGCTTTTTCCTAGAAGCCAGCTGAGATTCTGACTCAAGTCCTTGCTCCACTAAATGGTAGGTAGTCCATGGTGAAACTTTCATGGGCTGCTCATCATTTCTCCGGCCAAAAAGTAGAAGGGCAAGACCACTGGTATACCCTGATGCAGAAGAAGAAAAGAATCCTCCTCCTTCCACAGTCAATAGCATTTCAACAGCTCACCCAAGCCAAATAAGTTGAAGCTTCATCGAGTTTATCGATGTAAAGACGTCTTTCTGTTTGAAACTGGAGTGACACTTCCTTTTATGCATGAATATACTCACTGCAGCTGAAATAAAGGAATTTCAAGAAAGCACAGAAGACAAAATAAGAATTAGTTCAGCACGTACCAATATTTTATGCAAACGATACTTTAAAAAATGGCTTAATACAGGCAGAAGGGGTGCTTCTCTGCAAGCCATTCAATACAGAAATATAGCTTCAACAATGATGGAGTCCATTAATCATTACGTATGTTGTACCCCTAATCAATAAATCACAAATAGGCATTAGGGATGAAATCAGTTTAAATGGTCCAATTAACAATCAAACTCAAATTAAGATGGCCATCTTGCAATGCCCGTTTTCTCACATAAAGTTTTGCATTCACAGCTACTTATCAATACCTTGACAGGATATTTTACAAAATTCTACACATATGCTGAAAAAATTATTATAGTATGAAATCTAAAGTAATTGATCTAGAATTCCCAGTGTGTCATCGACAGCAGTAGGAGAAGCAACAGGTTGAGTGGAAAAGCTAATAGAACAAATAGATGCATGGAAGAACATGAAATGAATGGTATGTCAAACTATCTAATACTTGACCAAAGTTCAATTTTACTATCAATAAAAGGGAAAAAAGAAAAATTTCGATCTAAGTTTCTGTGTGAGTACTGACTCGAGATTTCTTATGCGTAGAATTTGCATGTTCCTTGATATGAGGTCCCTCCATTTATTGCTCAGAAAAATGTTAAATTTCATGAAATTTGCGAGTTGGCTTAATAAGGCACATCTTAACATGCTAAGAGACTACTGTACATAGGTACAGTATTCATGCATTGATCACCCAGTCAAAGCCAGTGTTTGAAGGCCGTTCTTTCAAATGCTTAAGAGGAAGAAGGAAAACAAATCGAATACAAAAAATCATCCCCTTCAAATTGTTCAGACACAAAACTATATAATTACTAAAGCCATCATACTATGATGGTTAATTACAAGTAGCAAATGAACTGCACATCCATAAGTTTACCGTTAAGGAAGCCAAAGCCTTGACTATATTTACCTAACTCGTGTATCCCGCAGAACAAAAAGAACTCCAGAAATCAACAAAGATCCAAACAGATGAGCCGCCACACAGCTGTAATAACTCGAGCGCCAAGAATGTCGCCACAACGACAGATCTAAGCGATATATGGTAAAAAAAAGTAGGACTACGGAAGCAAAGGTAGAATACAAGAATGCTCGATGCGAAACCCTAATGTCTAGCTGCAGCCACGAATCTAGGGTTTCCGACTTCACATCTAAAAAGCACAACAACATCGCCTAAAAAGAAGCCCTTGTCTCAGAAAAAGAAAGGAAAAAAGATCAAAGCAAATCTGGAAGACATCGAACCTCGAACCTCAAATGGGATCACGGCCGACCGAAGACGACAAGATCGGCAGCGGAGATTTGGCAATGGCCATCGCGGCTTTCCGTGAGTCCGTGATCGCCTTGTCTTCCTTCGCTGATCGGTCGAGCAAATCGGCTCGGAAGGGAGCGCAAAATTGGGTGCCACGACTCGATTCACCGTCTTTACGGTTCCGCGTGGCGATTAATTTAACAAAGGAAGAACGATCTTCACCGTTCGATTATCCAAAGCCCGTGATTAATGGATTATGCGCCGTCCGATGGAGACACGTCACGTGTCGAAGCCCGGATGATATCATCGTAGAATGCCCATTTACAATCGAAGTTAAAACTCACCAGTTACCCCTGGTTTCTACCCAGTTGGCACTTGCGGGACCCACGTTTATTTGTTGGTTGGGTTTCCAATCATCATGGATTGTAGATAAGGGTGGTAGATTAAGCGATGTTGACGGTAACGTGAGGGAGACTCCGACTCATGGATGGCTGAATGCTGAGTTAGACAAGTGGATCACTAAGTTACCTCCTCCTCATAATAACTCTTTATCAGATGAGACTCTTGCAATAGTTTTTTGTTTTCCAGATCAAATCACTAAGTTACCTCCTCCTCCTCCTGTCTCCATCTTGTCCGCCTCTCCCTCTCGTTTATTTGCCTTCTCATTCTCCTTCTTCGGCTCCTACTCCCCTTTTTCTTCCTACCTTTCTCCATATCCTCTGGTTCACCCACCTCCTCTTTTTTCTTTTTCATCGTGTCTATCGCTCCCTCCCCCGTACTCCCACGCCTCCTCACAATTATTCAAAAAAAAAAAACTCTAATTCATCCTCGACCAATGACACATGTTACCTTTCAATGTTCGGGAGCTTGAGTAGAGATTAACTTGACAAGTATATTAACCTAGATATTTTCTATACGAGGAACCCATAATATGTTAGAGTCTATCAGCTAATTTTCATACCTAGACAAACTACTTCATCATGATCACATCTTGGGTTTTGTAGCTCCCTTCCACTTGACTCATAATCAGTTGCGAGTCACTAAACATTGTTAAATCTTAGGTCTCAAGCTCTATTCGTACAACTATTTGTTTGGACCCTTAAGGATAAGTATGATGTCACCCTTTTCGAAGGTGATAGAACCATCCACAAATAGAGTCCATGCTGAGGAGGTGTGACTATCGACCTCAGCCTTAGGTAAGGGAGTTAGTTCCGAGATAAAATCTATCAATGCTTGAACCTTTATGACAGTCCTTAGCATATTGTAAATGTCAAATTTTTATAAATATCAAATTTGTCCAACTCTATTGACCACCTCAACAATCACCTTGAGATGTTAAATCGAGAAAGAACCTACCTGAATGGTTGGTCGGTAATTCTTTATATATCGTGCGCTTAAAAATAGAGATGGAGTTTTCTTACCATTAATACTAATGCAGATACTCTTAAAAAATATATCATAGTGTTACCATTCGAATTGCTATAGAGGAAGCGATTCACACAAAGAATATGTTGGTGAGGGCAAAAGACCAGGATCCGAGAAATAGTGCACCAATTTTAGCAAAGTCAATAGACTTTAAGAGTTGCTAGGTGACAGACTGTCTTAAAGCTGTACTTCGTCTAGGTGTGACCCGAGAGTGAGTGGATGAAAGTCGATTGCTAAAGAAGTAAACATAATCGGAGGTGGTAAAAGCCCTATGATGTATTAGTAGAGGCCACACATGGAGAGATTGTAATCCGAGTTCATCCCACAATAATTAGAGTGCAATAGAGATGTCACTATGAGATGACATGGTATAATAGATCATGGTGAAACAGTTCGAAATAATTCGACACACATGAGATAACACGACAGCAAGAAGGGCTAAATAAGGAAGAATGTCATGAAAAATTATAAACATGATGCTTAATGTAATGCTTATGTATATTCATATCTTTTAATTTTGTTCATATTTTGCATAACATGTAGAGTACTAACAGTAGGCTTAATAGTCCCATTTTGGTTAGTTTTGATAGTTGTTTTAAGCTTGTAAATGAAGGTTATGTTATGTGGTCACTTGTGGACATTTCAATTTGTAGTGAACTATTTTGGACTCTTTGTTATGCGACCGTTCAGAGCTTACAAAGTCTATGTTTATAATTTGCATTGACTATAAAGTATTTACTGAAATGGTTGTTTGTGGATCCTGAATGAAACATTTTCTTTAACGTATTTTCTCTTTTATAGGTCTTAAGGAATCATAGGAGGTTTTGAGAAGGTTGACATTTGCGAACAAACATGCAAAGGTGCCGCATAACTTAGGCAAAACCAACTAAGCACATGATAGTGGTGACCTTGGGGTTGAGGTTGACGATTGTAACTCATGTCTTGTGACCTTTTGCACATCTCCTCACACTTACTTGAGACCATTGCTTCCGTAGTAATATATTGGTTAGCTCTCTGAAGCACCTCGGGTACTATCGTCGGTGACCTGTCTACTAATAATTTAAAAAAATGAGAGGGCTTGAGGTATATCATGAAGGCCTATATCATAAGCAACTAATGAGCTTCTTGCATGCCTCAAATCTTGTTTGTGAATCGAATGATGAAGCAAGAGAATGTTTCTTCCTCTCCTTGCTTGAGTTCAAGAAGCATTACCGCCGATGACCTCCGACGTATATTCCCAAGGAAGTAGAGCTCAAACTCATTAATGAGCTAATCAAATAAGCCGATTGAGAGTAGCTTCAAGCGAGTGTACCATTCTCGTTTTGGACCTCTTAGCATTTTTGGGAAGGTGCGACATATCAAGCCATCTGATGAGTCATATAGTGACATATAGGTGCGGAAGGCAAGATTCTGCTCTACCAAATCAGTACTGCTATTAAAGGCCTCTATCGATGCAAGATGAAAGTTCATTGAGATTAGCTTCTCTTGAAAGTTATGAGTGAATGGGCATTTATCATAGTTGGAATCTCGGGGAGTCATTAATTAAATTCGTTGACTAGGTCTTAGATTTGTAAGGAAATCTAGGGGCGATATCACATGCGCAGAGGAAGAAAATAAAAAAAACCCTAAATTTCTCAGTACGTGTTCGTCATCGTGTGTAGATTAGTGCGCAAAACCCACGAAATAAAAAATCATGTGTGAGATAGTAGTGTTATATTGGGAGATCGTATATCCCTGAATCCCTATAAATTTGTAAGAGTGGATGAAGGAGGTCAAGCATTCTCCTATCTAGCAGTGATCCACATAGCAGGTCTGCAACGACGCTCCTCAAATCTCTAGGCCTACTCTCTAAGGAGAAGAAAGAGAGAGAAGAATAGAATATGACAACTAAGAAGCCCCCAGCTTGTGGGCCTTTGGTTCCCTCCTATTTATAGAGATCCCTAGTTAACCCTAATGGATTCTACCTTATTGGGTATTGGATCTTTATCCAATCACCCAAGCCTCTTAGATTAGTAGATCTCTAGCCAATAATCTCTTATTAGTTTTTATTGGATTTCATCCATGAGATCCAATAATTCATGGGCTTATTGGATATCCAATAAGATAGGAGCTCTAACGGATATTTCATATCCGAACCTCTACTCGTCACAACACTTACCATATGTGTGTGACCCTCTAGGCCCAATATCAAACTGACCGTGAGTCATATCTGTTAAAACTCCTTATTACTTAGTGAATTATTATCTACATAATAATTCACTCGACTTATCAACTACATACGTACTATGTTACTATGCTGTAGTCCCCAAACGATACAAGTGAATTCAATCCTTTGGACTTATCTGTCCTCAATTACAAAGTACATATAGTCCCTCATCTATCTAATATCTCAGAGATCATATACCAGGTATGGTGTCGTCAAGCCCATACGGTTTATCCTTGAGTCTCGCTCTAATCGGATTCTACCAGAGAACTCTTTCTCTCTCAATCCGAATGACCTTGGCTAAGGATTTTTTTGAACAAGAACACACAGGATATTTCTCTTATGATACCGAGGGCAGATGATCCTCTATCGACACTCAATAGCCCTCGTAAGGTTGGGTGTCACTCCCAATAATCGATTATATTAGATTTGAAACTTCCAAACCTATAAGTTCGGTATCAAAGAATGAAGTACTCATACAGGACATCCTTGGTATCTTAAGTCTAAAGACTAGATACACTACTGGGACTACGAAATCACTAATTGACAATAAGGCATCATCAATCATCCAGTATTCTGTGAGCGGATCAATTAGTGAAATCATTCTCTAATAAACACTTGCACTATATCCTTAATGTTCCCACACAAGCAGTAGCTATGAGACAAGTTGTCTCTATCATATGAACGGGTATAAAACACACCAATTTGTCCGGTTATCTCGATGTCCTTTTGAGTAACTTATGATTGAGATTGTTTAGGATCTGTATTTAAAAGTGAATCAGTCTCATTATCATTATCTCATCACGATACGGTTCCTATGCAACAAGTAATATAAAGTGATAAAATACCAAAAATATAATTAGCCAAAAGAATGTGTATCATGTCACACGTGCTATCACTCACGTGATTGGCTTATAGGGCACCTATGATTAGCAAGATTCAAGTAAAGCAAAATGGTGATATGATGGTGCACTAAATTCCACGGTTAGGAAGCGAGACACTCCCTTGGTCAGTAGTTCAATAGGCCTTGGGCGATCTTGAGATGTTGGTACTGCATCGAGTAGGGGGATCTCGACGAGCATCGATGCTAGTGGTGGTTGAGGTATTGATCACAATTGAGATGATGACATTGCTTGTTGGGCTAGCCGAGGCAGGAGTTGGGCGACAGTTTGAATCATGCCCATTAGCATTTGCACCTCCTGGCGAGGTTAAGGAATACCTTGGTGGGGATAAGTAGGTGGCCCAAGGTTATCCTGGGGATAAGAGGCCTAGGTCATTGAACAAATGTTAGTATCGCATCGGTGTTTGCATCAAAGTGGATGCATTCATTGAGGAAATGATGACAATTGCCTCTCTTGAGTAAAAGTATTATAGGTCGGAGGCAGGGCCTCCTTGTTGGAGCCTTCGTTGAGAGGATTGATGTACAAACATTCCTGTGATATCAAGCCCTCCTTCTAATGCTAAAAATACTAGGGGAATTCGTCGTCGATGTCTGAGTCAACTTGATGTGATCTATACTCGAGAGTGCAGGAATATCCAAGGTGGTGA